TATTATTATTAAAAACTTCTTATTTAGAGCTGAAATATATAAAATTAGTTTGATAAGTACTCATCTAGTATATTTATAAATATATAAATATCTTTTATAAGATAATATATCTAGGAATATTTTCATTTTTGATAAGTATAATAATAGTGTTTCATTTAGTGTTGCATTTATTTAAATGTGATATACTAAGTGTTACATAATAAATTTTTATAAATTTATAGATAATTATCACATTTAGACTTCGGCACAACCCACTCTAACCCGGACCCAACCCAACCCAACCCAACCCAAAATGGGTTTTGGGTCCATTGCTTCGACCCAACGATGGGTTTTGGGTTATAGCTCATAACCCAAAACCCATTGGGTAACCCATTGGGGCCCCAATATAGTGTAAACCAGACAAACAGACTTCTAGCGTATAACTGCATAATTAATGCATTTTTTGCTTGTAATATTGAGTATTTTACTTACAGCGCTCTTCTAGAAAAAATGGAGAATAAATCAAATAATTGAACCAGGATGTATTTCTCTAATATTGCTCAAAATCATCATCTGCCCTGCTCTTACGCTTCCTCCCTGAGGCCCGTCTCTGAGTTGCAGTCTCTGGTAACTCTGGCTCTGTCACCTCTATATCTATATCTATTAAATGAGGAGATGTCTCTCGCAGTCTATTATCTACTCCTTCTTCCTCTTCATTATCACTAATCAGGTCAAGCTCAGCATCCTCTATATATTCATCGTTCTGCTCCTTCGCTGACTCAATCTCAGCTAGTGTAAAGAACTGCTCAAGCTGCTTTGCCTCAGCATCCTTAATATTGAATCTTGTTGCACATAGAAACAACATAAGCTCCTCGATTGTTTCGGACTTCAGACGACCACGGCGGTAGTGACAAACATCCCGAGCAGTATTGAAGAGCCGTTCGACACCAGCACCAGTTGCTGGAATAGAGAGAATATCGCGAGCAAGTAACGCGATCGCAGGGAAACGAGATTGGTTCTCACGCCAGAATTGAAGAGGTTCAATATCAATTAGATCTAGTAGTATAAATATATTAGTATTATCCTATATAGGGAAGAAATAGATCATAAACATACCACTATCGAGATATTGAGTCATCTCATCACCAGCTGGTTTTGCGGATATCTTGTTACTCTTTAGCATCATGTTCAGTCTAGAACTAGATGATGCTATTGTTGGAGTATTAGTCGATCCTTGATTTATTGTAAGGCGCTCTTGATACGGAATCAATAATTCCTGGAATGATTTCCGGTAGGTATCACGCCAGTGAGGCTCCCAATTATCAGATTGAAAGAACTGAAATCTGCTGTCAGGTGCCAGCATTGTCCCAACTGCATAGATATGTCCTTTGAGATTGTCGGTTTGAGAGTAGTACTCATCAAGTTTCAAGCGACCAGCTATGAGTGCTTTGAGCATGTCTGATTTCCATGGAACACGCTTGCGTTTAAGCAGCGCCTCTGCTTCAAAAAAGTGATCAAAGAGGGCATTGTAAATCTTAAAGACAAGATGTGTGGTGACCTCCTTTGTCTTCGAGAGCTCTGTTGTGTAGTCAAAGAATGGCCGAGTGATTTGTAGAAGATAGTCAATTTGACGCCATTCTTGAGTATCAAGCAACATCTCCTCACAGTCATACTCCTCACAGAAGGGCTGGAAGAAACTACGTAGTCTCTTTGCACGACGAAGCATCAAGAAGGTAGAATTCCACCGAGTCCTTACGTCCTGGATTGGAACAAGCTGGGATCCCTTTTCTTGAAGTCGGAGAAAGGCCGCCTGGCGTTGCGGACTTGCATGGATATACACAGCAAGATAACGGACCTTGTTTAAGGTGTATGAGATCCTCTGTGTCTGGTGCTGAGCATTTGCCTTTGCTGCAGATGACTTCTGGTCAGTCCACTTTGTTTCTGCATTCTCATTTAGAGGGATGGCCTTTAAACGATCAAGGAGCTGGTTCAAACAAAGCTGGATAACATGGGCAAGACAGGGTATTCGGATTACTGTCACATCGCTAGAGAGCGCCTGCTGAATAGCCTCAACCATTGTCTTGTTGTTGGTTGCATTATCAGTTGTGACTCCAAATACCCGATCCTGGATCTTGTGCTCAACTAGAGTTTCAAGGAGTACACCACTTAAATTTAAACCGGTATGGGAGCCATAAAGTGGTTTAAATCCAAGTAGAACCTCTTGGTATACCCAGTTACTGTCAACAAAATAGCCAGTGATAGCCATGAACGCCTGGTTATATGGAGAAGTCCAGCAATCTAATGCGATCGAGATTTTTGCGTCGTTGGGTAGTGTTTGGAGGATAGATTTCTGTCGTTCTATGATCATATCACGTAAACGACGACGTATTGTGGTAGCAGAGGGTATCGGAGGGAGAGATGGTGCAGAGCGGGCTAATCGGAATAGCTTGTGAAATGTTGGATGTTCGATGAGGTGGAATGGAAGTCGATTGAGGGTGAGAAATTGGAGAAGATGCTCTTCCCATGCCGATTGTGAAAAAGGAGCCTCTGGTAAGCCGTGATCCTATGTATCCAGGAGTGTTAGGGAAATCGGATAACTAAATAAAGAGGTAAGGAGATACTACTTTTTGAAGGAACTGGGTAATTTCTCCTTTACCTCCCTGTTGAGCTTTGCGACAGCCTGCTGTCTTTAAATGCTTCAACATTGTTGATGTACCATGATAGCCCTTTCCGCTAGGTGATGGAGAATGGGGATGCTCTAGGATCTTTGAGCAGCGCTTACACATCACCTTTGGCGCACCATCTTTGGTATAGGCAACTTGGTCGAAGTTGCTCCATATGTTTGAATTGCGATTTGAATCCCAGGAAATCTTGCTTTTCTGCCCATAGTCGGTTTGTAGCCACCACTCAACCCATTCTTCATATGCCATATTGTCATAAAGCACATATGCCTTTCTCCGATCGGGGCCAACGCGAGTAAGAGAGTGTGGAATTGGTAGAAGGTTGGAGGGCCGAAGGAAGTCAGTATCAATAGCATCAAAAGGCTCAATTGTGAGCTGGCTACCAGATGGGGTTGGAACTCGAGAAGAGGGTATAAGATAGCTAAGGTTATCTGTATCCGCATCGTAAAGAGTAGGTAAAAAGTCAGAATGCTGGCTTTGGGACATTGCGACCGAAAAGGGGAATACTATAGAGGTAAGGGGGAAAGGCAGAGAGAGTATATACTTACAAGAGAAGGGTATATGAACAGTAAACACCTTAGTCCTATAGTAAAGTAGATAGATCAAAAGGTATAAGCTATAATGTTGTTTGATTGGCTATATAAGCTCTATTTAAATGGGTCTAACCCAAGAGAACCCAACAGGACCCAACAGGACCCATCAAAACCCAAGAGAACCCATTCATAACCCATCGAAACCCAAGAGAACCCATTCATAACCCATTAAAACCCAAGAGGACCCATTCATAACCCACTCCCCCAGAAGATCCCTCAAAAATGTTTCATTTACCCTCCCAGAAGAACTTTTCTAACCGCGGTCAGAGATAATAATATATACACCTACACCCCCCTAGAAGGGCTTTTCTGACCGCGGTCAGAAATAATGACATATACACCTACCTCCCAGAAGTGATTTTCTGACCGCGGTCAGAAAATATAATTCGGAGCACATATAATAAGTTAAATATAAGAGAAGAGAAATATAGCTTTAATATAATATCAATTGTATATAAAATCAAATAAGAATAAGATATTTCTATTTACATTCATAGTTATCCTATAATATATACATACTCCCCTCTACCACAAATATATATTTTCAACAGTCCACAGTCAATAAATGCTTAAATTAATAGAACACCACTATACTACGATTAATGTGAATTTTTATCAGTAATCAATATAATACAAAGCCTATTAGCTTCAAATTCAGGGTAATTACATAAATTTTCCAACTTAATATTGTGATAATGTAGCAATATTTGATGAACAAACCAGAACAGCTGTAAAAAACAGTAATTTATTTGAATGACTTAGCATTGTTATGAACGCCAAGACCTATCTTTTATGCAAAAATGGGTTCAAATGGGTTATTATTGGGTTATTGGGTTTAACCCATTGGGTTTTGGGTTGGGTTGGGTTATAGAGGGCGGAACCCAAAACCCAATGGGTTGGGTTTTGGGTCGGAGACTCCGACCCAAAATGGGTTCTGCCGAAGTCTAATCACATTAGACTATCAAATATCATTATTCTTCTGTGATTTTGCTAGTGTGACAGATCTAGTCAATTAGAATCTAGATATTACAAAATACTATTGTTTTTATATTATTAATTTAAATAACTAGAAAGTTTATTACATTAAACTTGATATTTCATTTATGTTATATAAATTATTTATTTATTATTGATCAGTTTCTTAATGTCTAATAATTTAGTTTAGTATTATATATGATATTAATAATTTTGAAATTTGAAAAAATATCCTCATAGTTATTTTCAAAAAAGATAAAGATATTATTTATCTGTCTATACATATTCCTGTAGAATTATATCTACCTGGATTTGTACTAAACTTTTTAATTGGGATAGTAATATAGATCTTTAGTAGCTAATATTGCCAGGTTCTGGCATATCACAGAAAAAAGAAGTTTTCTATGGCCCTTTAACAAAAAAACACCCAATCTGGAGAAGGAAGAAGGCAGAGAGAGAAAAAGGCATGTATGTAGGTGATTTCCCGCAGAAAACCTTCTATTCTTCACCAAGTGTAGTAGAATTCAAAAGGAAATATAAAGTACAGTTCTTCTGTATGGTAACTCCTTATTATATATTAAAAACAAACCTAAGTTATAAGATATTTAACACTAGCTTCTCAACTATACTAGATATCTATCGCCTAGTGCCTAAAATAAAAAGATATACTATTACTAGAAATAGAGAGATTATATATTTTCTAGATCTCACACAAACGAGGCCCTGGAAGGCGATGACTGGGATAGATCTAGCAGTGGTTTGAGCATAGAGCATGTACCGATCACCAATCCACCTAAACGACCAGAGGGGCCGAAGAGCCCGGGAAGATCAACCGACAGTCATCGGCGTGGGCGAGGAAAGAGAGCTGGGTCGTAGACGTGTCGTCTGGCTCCGGATCGCCACCGTCCCACGGCGATTGGGCCGTGGGCAAGGGAACTTGCCAAGAGGGCACCTCTTCCCCCATCGACCCGCTAACCACGGACGGCGTTTGGGGAGATTGAGGGGTCCCGCGCCCGCGTCGGTCCACCGTGCTTCCGCGACGCGCGTTGCCGGGGCCCGGCCGCCGGCGCTGGGTCGACTGGCCCGCCGACCGGTCGCGGCGTCGGGACGGGTCACAGCTCAGGAAGCTCAGGGGGCGTTCTTTCCGCCAGTGTTGACGGAGGGCATCGGCCACTTCGTACGCGTTGGGCCCCCCGAGCGCTTCTCCCGGGCCGCCGCCGGCACCTTCCGCCGCAGGCGCTGGATGATCAGGGACCGGTACCGTCGGCCCACCGGGTGGTAGTGATGTTCATACGTGGTCGGGGCGAAGTTGGGGAGGAGGAGCAGAGCCCCCCAGCCCCCGAGCTCGTCCGCCAGGCTCATGTACCGGCGCCCGGCGCCCAGCCACTTGGGGAGACTGGCGGCCAGCGTCGGCTCGACCCCGGGCGAGACCAGCTTCGCCTGGACCAGAAGGCGACAGATCTCCGCCGTGTCGCTGACGCCCGCGATCTGCTCGTCGACGAATTCCACGAGGAAGCACAGGAGCAGCCGCGAGCGGACGTGGTTGACCGTGATCTCGGTGTCGAGACGGTTCAACAGGCGGACGACCGAGTCCAACATGGAACACGTGGGGCGCGTGGGCGAGGTCTCTGCGACCGGGTGGAAGAAGGAGTCGGGGTCGGCGGCCCAGTTCCAGATGACCGCCTCCACCTCGGGGCTGAAGTCCCCGGGGCTCCAATCGTCGCACAGCTTGTTGACCAGCCGGTTCTTGCTCTTGCGTCGGCGGGTCGGGGGTTGCCGCGGAGGGCCGGGGTGCCAGTCGTTGCACAGGCGATAGAGCTCGTCCAGCTCGGTCGCGAACTGTTCGGCCCGGTCAGCATCTGCGAGCCACCGCTTCGCGACAGCGTTTCAGCGTGTCCCAGGACAAGCACGCGTACCTCGTCGTCGTCCATCAGCTTTTCCATGTCGTCTTGGTTGTTGAGCATGGCTGCCAGGACGCGGATGCTCTCGCAGATCTCGCCGAAGGCCATGGTGCTACTTGGCGGGAGGAGGGAGGAGGGAGGAAAAATTCGATCGAGCGTGGAGCGGATGGTGGGTATGATTTATACCATGGCGGACGCGTTGGCGGTCACTTGGAGGACACGTCCAGATTGAGCGACGTTTCTGGACAGGGGCGGACGCGCTCGACGAGGGCGACGACGTTGGACACAAGCGTTGTCGTAGGCGATGATTCCCCCACGAGAGCACCCTCCGAGGCCGGTCCAACAGTCTCCTGAGCTCAACTGTGCGGGAGACCAGGACGTTTCGATGTCGGCGGTGGTGGGCGCGCTGTGGGCGGTGGAAACTCTGCCCACGGATACCGCCTGATAGCGCCTGAGTTTGATCCCCGATGTTCATTCATCCCGCTCTCCGCAGCGGCTCATTGGGCAATGATCTTTAGCCGTGGCAGGGAGTGCATGTCGTGTACCTCACCAAAGGCACTGACGCGCGAAAGCTCATGGCCGACGAATACTTCCACGTTGGAGGGGAATCTGGGACGACCAGCGTCTTTGTATATTGACCACGACCGGTGCAATGCTACAACTGCCAGGAGATTGGTCACAAGGCATTCCAATGTAAGAAGATGCAGAAGTGCGCAAAATGCGCCACGGAGGGTCATCACTACAGTCGCTGCGATCAAGCGGTTCCACAGTGCGTTCCGTGCGGTGGGCCACATGAATCGTTTAGCAAGAACTGCCGGAAGCTCTACCCATCGCGTCATGATTAAACCACTTCGAATGATCCAATTGAATGTGAGAAAGCAGGGTGCAGTGGCGTTAGCGATTCTGGAACCTCAGGCGAAGAGGATCCAGGGCCGGCTCTTGACCACCCCGATGGGTCACCACAAATGGACGAAGATGGTCCCATTCACCTGGAGGGAAGGCAGATGGGCGATCCGAGGCATGCTTTGCGTAAATAAAGACATAGAAGCGGAGCAAGTGGCTATAGAATCCCCGGGTCTGACGGCGGCGATCGTCCGGCTACCCGAACGGCTGATCTTCATGGCATCGGTCTACGTCGAAGGGGGAGATGCCTCGGCGCTGGATGACGCATGCGATCACATAAGAAAGGCAATCCTAAAGGTGCGACGAGACACGGGCGCTGTGGTGGACATCATGATTATGGGAGACTTCAACCGCCATGACCAACTCTGGGGCGGAGACGAGGTGTCCCTGGGAAGACAGGGCGAAGCGGACCCAATCATTGACCTCATGAACGAATTCGCTCTTAGCAGTTTGCTCAAATGAGGTACAAAAACATGGCACGGTGGGGGACAGAGCGGGGACTGCGAGTCGACCATCGACCTCGTCCTAGCCTCGGACAATTTGACTGACCTAATGACCAAATATGTCATACATGAGACTGAGCATGGCTCGGATCACCGGACGATCGAGACTGTGTTTGATGCACCGTGGGCAGCCCCGGAGCATTAGGAGCGGCTCCTACTGAAGAACGCGCCGTGGAACTGCACATGCAGATCGCGGTCAGCAGCTCGGCTCGGAACGAGCTGGTCGGATTCGGGGTGGCGATCGAGAAACAAACACCTCGGTATCGAAAACTGAAACTGAAGACCCCTCCGTCACAATGGGTGCAAGAGCAAAACAGAATCCGTTCTCTGCGGAGCTAGCAGCGATGGCACATGCATTGAACATGATAGGGAGGCTGAAAGACTACAGGATTACTCTGCTCACGAGCAACAAAGCGGCGGCTCTGACACTAAGGAATCCCCGACAATAGTCAGGCCAGGAATTCGTCTGCCAAATGTACAAGTTGATGAGAAAGCCACGGAGAAATGGAACCCAGATCAATATCCGGTGGATCCCAACGAACGAAGACAATAACCTGCGGGGTCTGGCGAAAGAACAGGCCAGAGCCGCGACGCAAGAAGACGCTCTCCCGCAAGCACGCGTCCCGAGAATGAAGTCAACAACACCGAACATCGCACGGTCCCAAGCAGTCCCCAGCAATGATCTGCCAGTGAACATAGGCAGACACGCAAAACGAGTTGATGCAGCACTCCCGGGCAAACACACCCGGCAGCTGTATGACCGAAAAGAAGCGAGCATGCTGGCCCAACTCCGAACCGGGATGGCAAGACTCAATGAATATCTCTATCGAATCAACGTAGCAGAAACGAACCAGTGCGCGTGTGGACAAGCGAGAGAGACCGTGGAACACTTCCTATTTCGATGTCAAAAATGGACGGCGCAGCGGACGGTACTACTACAATGCACCGACACCCACCGAGGAAATATATCATCCTTCCTAGGAGGCAAGTCCCCTTCCGATGATCAGAAGTGGACGCCGAACTTAGAGGCGGCACGGGCCTCAATACGATTCGCCATCGCCACGGGCCGACTCGAGGCCACCTAACCATGCCGGCGAACATAAATCACCCTTTTCCCCGATCCAACCCACCAACCACCTCGCGTCACAGGTGGTAGACGCGCTTCAACTGCCGAGAATAGGATGTTGAACACTCGGAGAAGCGCCTTCACGCCAGTCTACTAACCAATACTAACCCACAGGGACCTGCTATGAGATTGGAAATTGAAATGGCAAATGCGGAAGGAAATACTGTATGGGCTCCAAGGATGCCTCTGAAATAACAAGTCAATTCATACCTCTGAACAACAACACTCACCCACTCTCTCATTCGTTCAGCTGCAGGTTCCAAATTGCAGGGTGAAACATGGCTGTCGATCAAATCCCAAAAGCCTGAGCCATCGCCTTAACATTCCCGACAAGACGAAAGGCCATGTGGCCATATGATCGTTTGGGGTTGCTCATTACACCAATCCAAATTCCTGTCGGAGGACGGGACATCGGGTATCCAAGGAAAATAGTCCTCGTCTCCCGGGGAATGCCCTGCTGTCCCCTAGAATCAGCCTCTCCGTTGTACGACACAGCTCGTAGTCGCGCCGTATATGTTCAGTCGATTTACCATGCGACATATAACACACCTCATACCTTCACACGGCCCGAAAGTCGCTCACAGGAAATTCCGGAATCGGATTGGCGTTTGTTCCAGATTGAATGATGCACAGGATGTGAAATGAAATCTATGTGGCTGGGTTTTTCAATCCGAAATGATTCCCTGGGTCAAAGAGCGGTGACAGAAGTTCAAGCACTGCCCTCGCGCAGACAAGGGTACGCTGATAGTTGATCACAAGTGGCGAGGCGGCCTGCTGCGTGTGTCAGACTTGCTTTTAGGAAATAATTGGGCCAGATTGGGTCCCCCAGTAGAGGCTAGCAGGCCTGGCGGTTTCGAAGGTGAGGAAGTATAAGGTAAGATGCTAGAGATATATAACCAGACGATCCGCCAGGACAGATGATCGTGGCAAACCATTCTGATAACCAGAACGGACGAGGCTTTAACTACATCAGACAACTGGGCACTGAAACCAAGAAAAAAAAAAAAAAAAGAAAGGAATAGAGAGGAAAACAAAGTGGAGCAGGTCGACAAGATTTTAGCCCGAAAACCCGGGTATCCTCTACCTACAAATGGCCGTATAAATGAAGTACAACTGTGGATGTACTCCTCTTTTGTGGCTCCCTAGTCTATGCCTTTGAATCCGACGGCTTATCACGAAAAAAAGGCCTCACGATTCGCAGACGAAAAGTGATTTTTGTTTCCTAAATCATACTTGACATAGGCGAATGTTGCGCCAGGCCAACTCGACTCAATTTCACTCCAAGAGGCTGTCGAAGGCGATGGAAGGCGTGTCACCGAGGCGAGTCACAAAGGTCAAGACCCCCAAGCTCGATGTTTTCCTAACTATTCTTGTAGAAAATCCATGGGCAGACTCCTGTCAGAACAGGCAATTGCGGAGACTGCGGCCGTACACAGTTCTGCCGCCAGGTCGCAGGCCAATCACCCTCATTCCACTGGGGTGCGGGCAAACGAATGCTCGCTGGAGTCGACAAGTGATAGCCACGGTACACAAACACATGAAAGCCTCGCTCGCACCGGGGGCAGCCAATCCGGCAGGCGCCACAGGGACGTCTCCCCGGAGCCGCAATGGCCGTCGACGGTCGTGGCAATGAAAGATGTCGCGGCAGAGCCGAAACCAGAGGATCAAGATCTGGAACCAGCGTCGGACGGGTTGTGTCGGCAACCCCCAGCCCCCCTCGGTCACCGAAGAAGAGCTGGTGGACAGAGTACGTGGGATCTACACGGAGCTGGTGAAGGTAGAGAAGAATTGCATAGAGATTACTAGAGAGCAAATGAGCTCCAGGGCGGAGCTATCGAAGACTCAATGGCAGCGCCTCGTCGAGATGCATCGAACGCTTCTCTACCAGCATCACGACTTCTTCTCCCTTACGGCTCAGCACCCAGCCGCCAGCCCGGTGTTGGGGTACCTACCTGACAAGTATTCCATGCCCGCCCGCATGTGGGATCACGCGATTCGTTCTTTTCTCGAGCTGTTGCACCAGAAGCTCCCCAGCTCGTGGGAACACATGCTTGATTTCATTCACTTCTCGTACTCGATGATGACACTGATGTTAGAGAGTGTGCCCGATTTCAGAGAGACGTGGATTGAACGCCTGGGCGATCTCGCACGCTACCGGATGGCCATTGAAGCAATTGATCAGAAGGATCGCGATCTCTGGGCTGGGGTTTCCAAGTACTGGTATAGCCAGAACGTAGCCAGTATCTTGGAAAATGGACGCATCCAGCATCACCTGGCGATCTTATCGCGTCCGGATGTCCTACAGCAGTTCTTTCACTACACGAAGGCCCTGATCAACGTTCGCCCGTTCGCAGATTCCCGAGACAGAATGGTCCAATTAGTGACTCGGATCATGAGTCCGCCGGCCCAGAGGCTAAGTCTGATCCCTTCATTTGTCAATGCTCATGGCCTACTCATCCTGGAGACACCATCAGGGGATTTTGCTTCTCGCGCCAAGGCTTTTCTCTCATCATTACGCAGAGACGTGGGGTTATTGGATCGACCAGGAGAGCAGAGTGCTCAGATGACCTGTTGCAACATATCCGCGATCTTCCAATACGGTCACACAGCTGGAGCGATGCAGGATAAATTCGATTCGAGGAAACGTAGCACCACAGCGGAATATCGTACGTCGGTGGCACAGTGGACATCTCACCCAGGGCAGAGCTCGCGCAAGAGCTCCGATCGTTCCACCCAGCTTACATTCCAAGCGAGCTCGCTCGCGTTTCACACTTTGATAGTCATGCTTGATCAAGTAGACAACCAGCACATGTATCCGAGTGTTCACATTTCGATGGCATTTGTCTGGTGTCTCACCCTCAACCCAGGCGCCATTCAATGGCTTGAGCCGCTGGTCCCCTGGGTGAGGTTAGCAGCGTACCTCAACGGTTTCATCAATCTCAAAGCTACCATCCCCAAGTTCGAGGCTGAGAATTTTCCACTTTGTGAGGACCCACCTACGAAGCAGCTGCCGGAAGACCTTTTGATCAGAGGGCAGGCGTGGACCCAGCTTTACTACCCAGAAAACTTTTTCGAGGCAGCGCCCTCGGAGGACGACAGACTACCCATCGTACATCCGGCTACTTTGATTCCTAGAATACAGCGATGCCTTTGGCTTGGAGTTAGGATCGCAAAAGTCAGTTGCCCTCCCTTTTATTCTTTCCGGCGGACTGATCGTTGTCTACAGTTCGCTCGCTGGATAACATATGACCAGACCCAGGGATTCAGGCCGACCCGGTTAGCAGAAGAATATGCACCATGCGCTGAATCTACTGCTTCCCTCACCGGAGATATATAGACAAATTCTTCCCGTCCGACTCAAGCCAACTGATTAAAGCCGGACCTTTCTCTGACCCCATAAGCAGTATCTTCGAGTGTTTTGCCAAGGGGCGTCTTGTTTCTCTTCTTTTATCCTTCTCCCCGTTGCTATTCTCTTCCCCCCGAAGACATTTTACTTAGTTCTATATTATTACCAGCCTTCTTTCTTTCCAACCTTTTTTTGCTCCAGAATCCCAAGAGCAACGAACTCACTGGCCATGAATGATTGCTTCACCTTTTGTGACGTGGTTTTGGAAAGATCCTGTAACAAAGCAAGACGCACCGATCAGGGAACTATGATCAGTATGGACACCAAATAAACTATCTAAAAAAAAAAAAAAAAAAAACTCACTTTGGCACAAGCGAGCTTGACAAAGCGTGCCCAAATCTGCTTGCCACATTCGAAATGACCCGCGTATGCTCTTGAATCGTCAGCGGAAATAGTCCGAAGGACGATCAGTGCAGTGAAAGGATGGGGGTGAAGTAGTTACGTGACAATTGCAAGCACGATGCATCTCCCTATCTCAAAGTAGACGCTTTAGTGAAGTACATCCGGAGACTCATGATAAAATCTCCCTTTGGTACCTTAGTATACGAGCATGCACCCCATGGTTTGGGATTTGGAACCAATGCAGACAAGCCAAAGCTGTACACTCTTGCAGCTTTAGTATCAAAGAACATTCAAACTGGGAAATCTCTCTTGATATGATTATACGTGGATGTTCAGAGTGCCTCTGTGGCTCTGAAGACATATGCTTCAAAGGACCAAGGAAACAGTTGACTTCTACCATCAATTTCCACCGCAAGTCTTCCTTTGCGGATGTTTTGCCTCACTATGCTTCAAGGGCGAAAAATGAATTAAAGATATTGAGTTCGGGAAGGCTTTTATCTGACTACATGCGGACGCCCAGTCCCCATAATCAGTCATTCGAAAAGTAGTAAAGAAGAATGAGCCACATGCTTGCCATGAGAAGCTATCACTATCTGATGACGCAAACTTCCGATATATGCATTGTATCTTACAGCCTCAAACCTCCAAGGATCTAATCTCTTATGGAGCAACGACGAATTTCTACTATAGCTCTCCCAACATTGCAGTCTCTCTGTCTTCAAATCTTCCGCTCGCAAGCAGGAGTATCATATGTCACTTGGGCCATGAGACTAAATTCGAACCTGGCGCCTTTCGCTAGCTTCATATGCCGGTGGTAAACCCGTTGCCTTGTTCCCGATGTGGATAATCGCATCACGTGATCACGTGACGCGTGGCTCGCGAAACACAAGCCGTGCGCGCGACACCTGACTGTCTACATTTCCCCGAGATCGCGTCACGTCCTCAGCACGATGACTGACCAACCCGCAGGCTTGTACCTTGGAATTGACCTTGGGACAACCACCATCACTGTGAGCTGGCAATGGTCCAACAGCGAGCTGAAGCATCTTCTGAAATTCAACTCACCCTACACTGAAAAAACCAACGAGGAGCTGGACGCAACCCTAGCCCGTTCGCGGAACAACTGGTATTATGGGCTGGATGTGCGGTACCTATCCGATGTCATCACTTTTGAAAATATCAAGCTGGGGATCATTGGTCAGGAGCCATATACAAACTTACTGAAGGAGTCCTTTCGTGCGGCAAATCAGAAACATCGCGTGACCGAGACCCCAGTCACACTATTCCGGAACCTTTATTTGCACATCTTGGACACCCTTGCAGCTCAATTCCTCGATCCGAATGAAAGCCAGAGCCACTGCGGTGATCGGAATTTCAGTGAGATTCAAAAGCACTGCTGGGTGACGTATCCGGTGAGGCACAGTGAATCGCTGAAGATCACGCTCGTCGAAGCCGCGCTTGCAGCGGGGTTCGATGGAGTCAATGGAGTCTCAGAGTCCTTGGCAGCGGCCTGTTTTGTGGCATTTCACGCCAAGCACGCCATCTCTTCTTCCAGGACCATGTTGATTATTGATTGCGGTGGTGGAAGCACGGTACGTTTTGTAAATTTTCACGCAAGCTGTGCCAGCACTTACTTTTTCTCGAGGATGCTGCCACCGTATACATAGACGGCGACGGACGAATTAAGCAAGCGTGCCCTACAGATGGTTGGCCATGTCTTTCTTCGACAATTGGGTTGCTACTAACGATGAGCAGGGTTTAATGGAGGAGGACACATGATCAATCATGTCGCACGCGACTGGCTGCAGGACAAGTATCCAAATAATGATTATTTGCGGGACGACAAACGGTGGATGGGGATCTCGTCCCAGTTCGAAGGATGTAAACGAGTCTTTGACGGCACATCATCGGTCAAAGTGGATGTGATGGGTGATTTCATTTCAATAGATTGGTGAGTGCTTTGTCCCGGGACATGACGCATCGCTAATCCAGATTAAACTGCGTGACCATGTCCTGTGAGAAGTATTGTCTAACTTAGCGAACAGTGCCGAAATGGCCAATTTCTTTCAGCCTTTGATATCAAATATCTTGGACCTCTTTCACAAGCAATATCAGAATGCCGAGGAGAACGGCCATGCAGTCGGCGACTTTGTCCTTTGTGGTGGGCCTGCACGAAACCACTGGTTCGCCAAAACGATCTTTGATCTAATTCAAAAATCGCAGCCTGGAATAACATGTGCAGCGGAAGTTCTGTAGGTCGACCATTACTGCAATACAATGGATGAGAGGGCTAATGATATGCTTTCTAAGGGTAGGAACTGTGGCAAATGGAGCACTTTCTTACGCCCGACGCCCTGTGACTGAGGTCAGCCTGGCAAGTGAGGATATTGGACTCACTTATTTGGAGACGCATTCAGCATCCGGCGTGCCTCTAGGGGGGACAGAGTGGAAGAGGCCATTGGGCTACTGATTGAAAAGGTGATATGCTATTTTCGAGCGCAAGCGTAAGCCTTGGGCGGTGCTGATGACCCACAGGGCCAACCTGCCGGACGAGGAAGCCACGTCGAACTTATGAAGACCGTCTACCGAGACCGAACTGACCGAGCCAACCGCATCGTTTCGTCCAAGGCATACAGAACTACGCCGCAATTTGATCGCCGTCAGATACGCGCTAATGATCGAATTGAGTGGGATTGTCGAATTATCTATCCGCTGAAAGGGCTGCGGTCGCATCTCCACTTTTTGGGATGCATAGAAGCGGAGATCCCACATGAAATACTCTTTCCTGCGGGGAGTAGCCACGACAGAAAGGAAGCGTACTTTATCGTATCAATCAAACCGGAGGGACAGCTGTTGAAGGTGGGTGTTTCACTCAAGCGAGATGGCGATACACCTTTGGTACTTCGAAAGTCATACGTGCCCGCGGCCAGCTGGGCCCCTGAATCGGAGTTGGACTTGGAGGGGAAACAGTATGGTGACTCTATGCCATTCCCCCCGGGCGGAGTGAATGGGGCCGGACGGAAACGGAAGCGAAGTGTACCAAAGGCGATCCGCCCATATTCTCCCAGGCCAGTGCGGACGGCAATGAAGCCCGGCCTACCGTCTGCTTCATATGTTCATCCCACCGTGGCAGAAAAGAAGACATTGCCGGCACGGTCCCTACGCACAACGTTGAGTTTCAACGCATCTAGCGCTTCCGAGGCTGTGACACTACCCACTGTCGGATTTTTAACACGCCCAGGTGAGTTTCATCACTGTTTTCTTGCATTCTGCAACCGGATCTCTGAGCAGATTCACTCAAAGTAGCAACCACCTAACATTCTACTGCAGCAGTCTCCAGACACAATGCACGTCCGGACCAACAACGTTGATGGATGAATGATGTGATGAAAATCACGCATTGATAGAAGTTCAAACATCTCGTTCGCCAACGGCAACCATGGCGATTCAATAGATCAGTATGATTGACTACCAATGGGAGCGAGTATACTACGACTTTGTCAGAGCGAAGCAGGTTGTCATGAAAGAAGAACATAATGTTTTCGCCTCGATGATCTATTCACACGGGTCCACTTGTTCACGGGTGGCTCATTGGGAGGTAAGTGACTCTTGATCGCTATTCATACCCATGGTTCCGGTTTTTGTTATGTCAAAATCAGCTCTTTTGGCGGGTCAGTCAGAGCTCTCCAATGAGGGAGCAAACTTCAATGGATTCAAACAAATGTGTCACTCTTTTAAAAGCCATCAACATCGATATCGGAGATTTGTGGACAGTCGTTCATTTGACAACCGTAAACATTCAACGGATTTGCGTTGGAAAACAAAATCCACATCCACCAGGTGGAGATATGATGATGGTAAAGAATATTATCATATTCTACTCGTCCCGCGAAGAGAATCTGTGGTGGGCGTGACAAGAAGAGCAGATGTGCGTGTGTTGGGGTATTGATTTAATTTGATCGATCCACTGACCGTCGTGCCCTGGCTGGTTTCATGAGATCACTGATTTTACTTTCATCTTACCATGATGTACAACGGCAGCTTCTGACAACATATTCTTCCGCCTAGAGCGCATGTGATGTTCCGCAATGATGCGGGCTTTTGGGATGAGATAAAGATGACATCTGAGCATGGCCAGCTATTGATTATAAGAAACTTAGCATTTCTGGATGTCAAAGGTAGACAGGATAGAAAACTTGGCATTAAGTTCCACTACCGTATGTCACTAAATTCCAATTGCGCATCGAGCGATCATATCAGGATGATCTAGGGCGCCGACGAAATTCTCACTAGTGAAGTGTATCACGAAGCCCAGTCCGAAATCCCAGATTATAATCACGTTGTAGTCTCATTGCTGGACTTTGCCCTTTCGAGCTTACCATCTACCATGCTACTCTCGTTGCATCCGGGGGCTCGATCGTTGAATACGGTCTTTGCTCTTCGTTTGCATATAACCTCGGTTTCTTGGTTGACCGGGTATCTTCTATCCTTGTTTCAAAAAGCTGTCACAAAAGGCGTGGTGCAGTTGTTAAGTTGCAACTGAACAGAGGAACCACGTATCCAAGCAAACATTTTCTTTGATCTTGGCCATATGATGGGAAGCGTGGTAGATCATTTGTTCAAGGAGCGCAGCGCTGAAGATTCTGCCAAGAGCCAGAGTCATCGAAGATTATGCTTAAATTTGATTGCAGCAAATGGAGATACAGCATTCGGGGATCAGCGGTGGAAATTATGGGAGTGGCTACGAAACTGGTAGCGCAAAGGCCGCGGAACAGAGCAGCTAAACCGTGGCACAGCACAGGCCAAGTGTACGTAAGCTTTTTGACTTGCAATGGCTGTTGTTTGCCAACTCAACCGACGCAACACGGCGCATTCCCGCTTGACCGACGGTTATGATGTACATAGGACCAGCTATGCTACTGTGGCTGTTTGAATAGCGCCGTTTCCATACTTGCGAATTCTGGTATGATTACCCGCATCAATCCCTTATATCTAGTCCGTAGAGATATAATGTATAAATTCTGCACTGTATTATTTAACATGAAACACTCAGCAAGAAGATCGAAAGCTTGATTGGCATCTCATAAGTGATTGTCATTTGTCTCGTATTCAGCAGTTGTTTTATTCCAGATACTAGACTCTCTTTCCATGACGAATTCAATGAATCTAGGACCAGTTTGCAGGTGCTAAGGCCATGTGTTTTCATTTGCTGTTGAATGTCTCGGATCTAGAAAGCCGTGAACAGTTTCCACTTCCATCTTTACCCTCGCTGCCCATTGTCGAGACATTCGGCGATCATACTTTGGCCATAAGGTGAGTGGAGAATGTACGTTCTGCGCACAATATTGTACTTCATGGGAGCCCCCATATTCAGGTCCAAAAAAACTTTGTCTTTTGTCTTTGGTATTTTTCCAACTTGTGCTATCATCCGCAGACATGAGAGAATTGCTTCCTATGCATTTAGCTAGCCCATTCACGCGTCTTTTTGGAAATATGCGCGTTGCAAGCTCCATTAACTGAAGATTTTGCACAGCTGATAGTTTGATCTGATCATGGTTGAAAATAGCATCTGAATCATTGCGAACGTAGAAGAACGCTTTTGGGATAGATAGTGACTCAAGTATAGCCCGAAGTGTAGTTCCGCTCAGTGCAGCATAAGAAAATCATTCATCCCTCAGACCGTACATCAATCAAAAATGTTGATCTTTTGGGTGGGACAAAAATTTGCAGAATCAGATTGTTCCATGTCGTGAGATGTTGACTCCCTCGAGGGTCACTATACAAAGATGGGGGCTGTGCTTGCAGACCTTTCAGATCTCTTCTCAACTCAGCTTCCCCTGCACAGGTATCGATGAAAGTGCTAGACGCCTTGTCTTCCAGCGCTGAAATTTGGAAACCTGCCACCAGTAATCTCATGGTATCCCGAGAAAGATTCACAGATACTGGTTGTGGTGCCTGACGCTAATGGATGGTCGGTGTCGGCGTTGGTTCCTATCCACTTCGTAATATATAAGCCATGTGTTACGCACACGCTAGCTGGTTGTCGGTAGGTTGGATGGAATCGGGTATACTATCTTTATAGTTTCGCCGACTATCAGATCTCAACAATCTATCTCTCAATCGTACTGTTACCTCACAGGCCTTGGTGCAGACTGGAGATCTTGAGAGTATAACGATACTAGATAGGGTGCTGAATAAATTTACACCGAAAACCTATCTGACAATTTCAAGAATCGCGTGTAAGCTCTGACGAGGAACAATGCTCCGAGGGAGAGAAGAGAAGAAAAAGGAATTTTCCAAGTATATCTATGAACCGAGATCAAAAACCATCAGAAAGAGGCTTTTTCAACTAGAGTAAGGGAGATAGACACACAAAAATTTCGTGGTGATTGAGACAGATCAAGCACTTGCTTTTCCCGCATTCTGCCAGGATCAGGGACACAGATGTCTTCTGGGAACTTAACGGGTCATCCGCCAATCCGCGGTGTGAAAAGTCATCAGCGACGGTATAACCACAGCACCGTGACCATCTTGCTTTTGAACAAAATTCCTAAGCGTTAAACGAGGTGGGCTAGCTCGATTGAGTAGATAAAGTAACTCTAGTTTAGATAGTCTCTTCATATTGATCATTTTTTGATCAGTGATTTCGAGTCGCGTCGCTTGCGTCGAACGTCAGCGTGGTAGGGGGCTGTTTACCATTTATTCCTGCTGATGTGACTCATGCTCTCTGTTCTAGGGAGGAGCAGATATGCCTCGACTCCAATTGCATCTCTATAGGTTTATTACATTTAGACATAGTGGGGGGATGATTTAGGAGGAGAGTAAATAGGTGACTTTAAAGAAGATCTGTCATTTGAGTAGCGGACCCTCCTAACGGGAGACCTGTAATTTTTGTGGAAAAATGCATGGGTCGGTTAGAGCTTCGCCAGTCCTCATCTTTTGGCCCTAACATACGGTACGGTTATCTCGGCGTTTCACTAGAACCAAGAAAGACCCTCCCTCATCTTACCAGTAAATTGACCCAATATCCAGGGCTCCATACGGAGATGGAGGCAGGGTACCTGGACGGCCCGACCCCTGTCGACGCTATTGCAATTCGAGACAATCCTCCGAACAAGAGCACGCCAGGATATTGTGATTGGCCATCAATAGACGCTCCGCGCTTTCCCTTGCATTAGCGCTTTCTTTGCTTGCATTGGCGCGTCATTGGCTTGCCTTATCGTGCGGTCACCATGGAAAGCCCGTTTTGCTGTCAGTATTTAAATAGTGCCTCGTCAGCGGGATCAAAGAATTTGCCCTCTCGAATTTCTTCTGCGGCTTGGCAAAGGAGAAACAATACCCAGATTTCGTCATCATCATCATCCTACTCATGTTGAAATCAATGTTGCTATTTGTGTTCGCCCTCAATGTACTTCGAAGCAATGGTAAGCGTATTTATCCATTGCAAGGTCGCTTCCCACATGCAGTCCTAATTTGAGCTTTTCACCAGCATTCCGAATCACTTACCCGCAAAAAGGTGATCTTGTGAATGTTTACAACGGCCTTTCCACCGCCTGGTCTTATAACTCTTCCGACTCGATAATGCTCCCTCTCTTGATTCAATTTATTGCGGCTTCACATCTCGAAGAAGCTCCGGACTACATTACGGATGAACTCAATATCACCTTGGGTACATTTAACATCCAAACCAGTTTTGGTCTGGCCGATCACTATTTGCTTCGATTCATCTACGGCAATAATGCATATGAAACTGGGAGCTTTGATATTACCATGTCTGAACGTCCAAAAAATGCCAGCGATACATCTAGTTCCGCTAGTCACCTTGTTGGGTCGACACCAAGCCCTAGTATCCTGATCCCACCTGCTGCAGAGTCCGCCACGGGAACGAGCTCTCTAGTACGAGGAACAAACAGCCCTTCGGGCTCGGAAGCGGCTGCAGCTACAACTGAAATCCCAAAAATCGGTGAAAATAACGAAAATGGTCTAAGCGCCGGCGCGAAAGTTGGAATTGGGCTAGGTTGCTCTGCCGCCGCGATTGTTGGCATGTCGAGCTTGTTTGTCCTCTATTGGACCAAGAAAAAGAAGAGAACAATCCCCGAAAGACCGCCTAGTCCACCAAATATTGTTCCAATAAAGATAGAGTTAGATGGAAACAGTGCTACCCGGAAAATATTTGAAATGGACGGAAAGCATGAGGCGCGAAGTATCTCTGAGCTTCCAACGCATCCCTTTCCATCAAGTGAATTACCGGGATGATAATGCGGGAAGAGATAGGCAAGAAACACCTATAGTGTATCTAGCATCTCATTATATTATAGAGTAGGCAGAGAGGCTGCATCATACCACCCGGGGGGAGGATCAAGATTGCAAACATGCAGTGTTTTTCAGTATAGTGATATCTCTTTGGTCAAAATGTAGAAGAGATAGCTTTGCGGATGCAATTGAGTCACCTTCTTTGCTGATTGACATACATTGAGTTTCGGGACAGATTTATGCACTGCTGTCGGCATTGCTTCAAAAGACCTTCAATTTGATTTAATTCGGTCTTAAACCAATCGATGAGGCGTGGGTTACTTGACACGGAGATTGAACTCGCCACCAGGTCGTATTGGCCTTTCATGTGCTTCAGGGCACTGAATGTGGTTTCCAACTCGGAACGACCGAATTCGGCGGCGAAAAGGGGATCAGAGCTCAGCAGACGCCACTGGCTTAAATCAGTGAAGTGTTCTTTGATTCGGCTGACACTCGTATGTTCAACAGCCAAGTCAAATTGGCTCTCGCCCAACGAGATAGCTAGAAAGACTGTCTCATGAAGCCCCTGCTCTACTGATTGGAGTTCCGATCGGATATGGTTGAGGGCATAGCATTCGTTGGAGCCTTGATTGCAAAGATCGCAGTCAAGGGAAGATCGGATACGCATCGTCTATAAACTGGAAATCAATGTCACAGCGCTCGCAGAACGACAAGGGATACTGACTGTTAATGGGACCATTGTTCAATATTCAGTTTTGGCCCCGGATTGATTTCCCACACACTCTTGTATTTCCCGTCAAGTGTTTTCTTAAATAGGTTGACCTTGGTTCTGAATTGTGGAAAGCGACCGCTCATCTGGATTGTGGCAACTTGAAATTGGTTTTCAGCACTGGCCGGAATCCCAGATTTCGCGATGCTTACGACTACTCTTTCATTGCAGGTATTTATATAACATTGAATCGAGAAGACCTTCCTCTGCTGGCTGTTGACTAGCCGGCCCACTTGGCTCTTTGGCCGCCAGTGGCGACCGTAAAAGCTAAGAATGCGAGCAATGCGAGCACTGTAAGAAGAGCGAACAATGAGTATTGAATGGCAAAGCTCACCATGACAGCCCCAATAATCTACCAACGATAATTGATTTCGGGCATTGATGGAAGTCGTTCCATCTCTCTGATTACTGTAGTGTACTTCAACTCACTGCCCCCGTCAACTTACTGCCCCCGTCAACTTACTGCCCCCGTCAACTTACTGCCCCCGTCAACTTACTGCCCCCGTCAACTTACTGCCCCCGTCAACTTACTGCCCCCGTCAACTTACTGCCCCCGTCAACTTACTGCCCCCGTCAACTTACTGCCCCCGTCAACTTACTGCCCCCGTCAACTTACTGCCCCCGTCAACTTACTGCCCCCGTCAACTTACTGCCCCCGTCAACTTACTGCTACTGGTTCCTTCAACTTACCAGTTCCAGTGGGCTCGATGTGGCCAGCCCCGTTGCGAACCTAATCCATTGTTCCCACGGATAAAAGAATACCCGAGCCTCCCCGTCATCATAGTGTGCGAATCATGTGATTTCATCCCACAACCGTCAGGGTAATAGACGGCAAGACAAAGGCAGACAGACTCAAGCACCGAACATGACCTACCAAGTGAGCCTACTCATCGCAGATGATATGCCGATTCTAACTGGCCTAGGAAGCTGTAAGATTGCTTCAACAGTGCAGGCGACCATTTCCCACCGATTCACCGGCGACACCATCACCCCCGTCGAGCGTCCCAAGAGCTCCAAATGCTTCCACATTAAAAGGATCAGAACCTCGCCTTGGCATGAGAGACTGGCTGTTCACTCTTGGGCATGATGTATGCGCGATGTCGTTTTTTATTTTTATTTCTTTTTTTGGAAATCACTAACGGATACTAGTCCGAAGCGATCGATGGCTTGAATGTCATTCATGTCGCCGGAACAAAAGGCAAAGGCAGCACATGTGCTTATGTGGACTCAATGTTGCGGGCGCATGCGGATAGGAATAAAACCAGACGGAAAATTGGTCTGTACACGTCGCCAAGTCTATGGCCGCGAAATAGAATTCGAATCGATTCGAACCCATTACCAGAGGATCTTTTCGCAAAGCGGTTTTTTGAGGTGTACAAGGGTCTTTCTCTCGATTCCAACACGCTACCACCCGATACCAAGACACCTGGATATCTCCAAATGCTGGCCATCCTAGCGTTTCACACGTTCATCAAAGAAGGCGTCGAAGTTGTTATCTGCGAGGCCCACCATGGTGGTCAGTTCGACGCGACAAATATAGTTGATCGTCCTGCCATCACTGCGATCACAAAAATTGGCATGGACCACGTCGAAAACCTAGGAAAAACCATACGACACATTGCGTGGCACAAGAGTGGAATTTTTAGAGACGGCGTTCTCGCATTTTCGGTCCTCCAAGTCAAAGAAGCTGAAGATGAGATTGAACGTCGAGCTGAAGAACAAGGGGCAATACTGCAGTTTGTTGGAAGCGTGGAGGGGTCGTTACTTGAAATCCTTGATATCGATCAAGTTGAGGACATACCACTTGAGCAGCGAGAAAACATTGCTCTGGCTACAAAGATTGCCCATGGCTTTCTTCAACGGAGCCACCAATCACTTGACAGACGAGACGTTTTGGGCGGTGTTCAAAAGTGCTATTGGGCTGGACGCTTCGATATCGAGAATTCCGGTGGCTGCACTTGGTATTTGGACGGTGCACACAACGAGACAAGTATGGAAGTAGTCGCAGAGTGGTATGATCGTGTGGCAAGCCCTAGGTAGGTTCCCTTTCCCACTGCTAGCAATTAAGCTAACAAACCCAGCTCTGTCCGAGTTCTTGTGTTTGCTCATTTCTCACCGAAGCGAACGCGTGACTGGGAAACCATACTAAGAACATTATGGAGGTCTCTCAAATCGCATATCCAGCATGTCATACTCGTTGAAAAGATTGAATATGACGATCATTTCTCCACGCCCGGCGGATGGTTAGAAAATTATGCCCAGTTCTGTATAGAACAATGGCCCCCAGTTTCCATTTACAAAGCTATGGATGTCAGGAGAGGCATTGAACATGCGAAGGATATTGCTATGGGAGGACAGATCCTGGTGACGGGAAGCCTATACTTGGTAGAAGCTGCCCTGGATGTACTCAAGGACGAGGTCATCTAGAAACTGATAAGCTGTGTTATTATTGTAGATATCTAGTATCACAAGTCACATTTAAACCCTTTTCAGAACCTTCAATGCGAGCAAAGCGTCACGGGGCGTTTGAGCCTCTTGCTGCAATCGCAGGTCTTCCACCCTCCCTTGCAAGCTCGTCAAGTTTGTCGAGCCAGGCAGTTCCTTGGCCCAAGAAATAATATTGCCGGCCGCACTCTTGAAAAATCTCCTGCGCTGCAGAGCCTTTGATCACGGCTTCCGAATATCGACCAAGCCGATACAGGATCTCGCATTGAGCGTATTGTATCAGCATCTCTGCGTGGCCAGTTTTTTGGAAACAGTCTCGCGACACGTATAAAGCTTCATCCCAATATTTCATAGACTTTTCCCACTCAGATCTGAGAAGATGAACCATGCCGAGGCTTGCTTTGGTGACGTAAAGATTATGCTTCGTAACCATGCTTGGTTCTGCCATCCAATGAATACTTCGAAAGAGCTTCTCGGCTTTCTTCAGCAAGTCATTGTCGAAAGGCCGATTTGAAAGAAATTCCATCAAATAGGCACCTCCCAACGCCAACCTCAACCTTCTACCATTCCCTGATTGGCCCTGTTCCTTCTTCAGCAGCTCTCCATACTCGTATTCCAGGTGTCCTATGGCATTGGATGGATACCCTGCCTCGCAGACGGTCTCGTAATATTGAATCGTCATCATGTTGCTTGCTCGATATCTCAGGGCCTCCATAAAATCCACAAGGGTATTCTTTGCACGACCAAAATCCCCATCATATCTCTGTAGCTTGGCCCGCAGAAAGTTTATTTCAAGTTGGATCGACTCCTCGAGATTCGATATAGGATTGAACGCGGAAAATTGGTTGAGTGTTTTGTTGATTTCTTCGGTAGAACTCCTCGCCTCGATTTGGAGCCGGGCTTCCAGCAGCTTTAGTTTGCCAAAGTCCGCGTTCGAACGGTTGTTTGTCCTGGGAATATAGATTTCTTGCGGAGATGGGATATCCCTGGGGTACAACCTTGCAAGCGAGGCTGTTCGCAGTCGTACCCTTCCTTTGGTGACGGCACAGCCCAGCTGGTTAGCCATATGTTCGGCAAATGCAACAGCGACTGTCTTCCAACGCTTATCTCCGAAGTTTGACGCAGAAAGGCAGGCGTCAATCGCAAGCTCTATGACATGACTTTCCAGGTCATCTGGGCTACATTGAAGGAGATGAGACAGAGCTCGCCCGAGCATTGGTATCAGCGACGCTCCTGCCACCGTATACCTGAAGACAGATTAGTCAATAATATTGCCTTCTTTGTGTTCAACATACTCAAGAGGTCGTAGTTGAGCATCTTTAGGATAAGCATGGAGGATGGCGTTTGTTGCCAGGCGCTGCCATCTCTTTGCGGCCATTTGACCGAAACAGCATAGCATCCCCGGGACCTCTGGATGAATCATCATAGTAGTACCTACCCCATTGTTGGGCAAGGGTATGATAAAACCATTCTCTTTTAGACGTTCGAGCATTTTCTTATGCCCTTGAGGTACTCCAGATCCAGGGCAGATCGCCTGGCCATTTGATCCCCAATTCAGACTATTATGGGCTTGGTCAAATATATCACTGGGAAAGCAGTCACCAATAGATGAGGCCATGCCCAAAAATTCCCTGGAATCCTCGTCCAACTGACTGAAATTGAAATGAAATTTCATGTCTGACCCCGAACACATCGACATGTTAGGTTGCGCCCCAGGATCGAAGAGTTGCAAGGGCCGAGACCATAGCGACGGTTTCAGTGCAACAGCATAACTCGCATTGACTCGATCATGTGCTTCAATTTCTTTTGAAACATCACTGTTAACAGGCGAAGTTGACGAGGGAAAAGGAGAAGAGGGCTGATCAAGCTTTTCCTTCGCGATAAGGAACTCGGCAAGTGCTTCTTTAGTGGAAGGTGGCAGATGGTGCGATTCGCATTGCTTTCTCAAGTGGTCAGCAAATGGAGCGAGTAGCTTTCCGTCTCTCTGAAAACTAGACGCAGATGTTAGCTACCAAAGATGCTTGAGTGCCATGATGCTGAGTGACGATCGGTTCCAACTGGTGAAGATACTTGGGTCCCGGGCGACTTACTTTGCTTCCATGGCAGGATCGCGCGGGAAAACTCGACAGACAAATTCCAAGGCATAGAGATTCCAATGATTGAAGCCTTTCCCCCTCATGAGCCTTGTGACATGCTTCTTTGCGGTATCAAGTATTGAAATCGTGACAATCGGAGGATCATAGTCATTTTCCATAGTGATCCATGATTCCGAAAGTAGTTCCTCGAAACACATTACCAGCCTTTCATTGGACTGAGTGATGAATTCAAAATCAAAGCCGCTATGGCTAGCAGTATACCAAGAATAGCCCCAGCACACATGAGAAGCAAGGGAGCGCTCGAACATCAATCTCGGGACCCTCACGCCTCCTAGAGCAGTTATTAGGGCCAACAGCTGCAAAGAGCTTGAAGATAATTTTGGTATGATGTTGAGGCTAAAGCCAAATTGCAGAGTAGAGCTTGCAATTGTTGCGGGGGGCGCCTGTGTCTTCCGAAGACGAGGTAATTCTCTTTCGCTTCTTTGACGGAGCTTGGTACCCTGATTGGAATGGTCATCCATTAGGTCGCAGCACTGATAATGGGGTAAGGGACCTTACTAGCCAATGTGTCCGCTTCCGCTTCAAGAGCCTCGCAGTAAAGGGAATCTCGTTCTTGGCTCACGTACTCCCAGATTGAAGTGATTTCTCCAAAAGAATATTGACAAAGGCGGTTTGTGGTAAAACTGCATAGTATAAGCAATGCGTGTGGAAAGCTGACACTCTCAAAGACAAGCCATAGCATTGACTCAATAGCATTGCGTTTGAACCCATTCTCTACTATCGGGTTTAAGCTGTGCTGACCACTCTTCACATTCTTGATAAATCTTTTCACAGAAGGGCTCTGTAGATGCAATCTCTGTGTGTGCGGCCGAGATTCTAGCCAACTAGCGAGTGAGCCACTCGCTCTAATCTCTCGGGAGGTGTCTTGGAGTGATTCCTCAATGGATTTTCCCTCTCTTTCTCTTTCGATGGGCACATGATTTTGAGGGCTCCTCTGCCTATCAAGTTTGGAACGTGCTCCCTGCACCGATTTTAGAGCAAATCTGCACTGATTTTCAAACTTGACTAAATCTTCCCATGCCAACCCATCGTACCCTAATGCCCACGAGTTCGAAAGATCAAAGCCCATGTCGGTCACCTGGATTAGTGGCGTAGTCGTTCAATTTTTTGAGACAGTGAGTTAAGGGGACCAGGGAATTGAGGGGACCAGGGAATTGAGGGGACCAGGGAATTGACGGGACCAGGGAATTGACGGGACCAGGGAATTGAGGGGACCAGGGAATTGAGGGGACTTGACGGGACCAGGGAATTGAGGGGACCAGGGAATTGAGGGGACCAGGGAATTGAGGGGACCAGGGAATTGAGGGGACCAGGGAATTGACGGGACCAGGGAATTGACGGGACCAGGGAATTGAGGGGACCAGTGAGTTAATGGGGATATTCTTGCTCCTGGTGGGGAAATAGGGGCTCGTGCGCGTGCCAATACCCCATTGGTCATACTAGCTGCCACATGCAGTCTCAAGGTCAACAAAAAAAAATGAAGCTTCCGATTTGCATTTCAACTTACTGTACGGTAGTATTGCTGTAATTCACCACGCACATCGGCTACAGATTTCTATCATGGCGTAGCTCATTGGCATTCAAGTCTCTCGGACTTTGTCATCCAGTGCGCCGATGTATGTTCGACCCAACCTATGGCAACTTGCGATAGGTTCCCTAAAGAAAACCTGGTGCTTGTCCTGAGAACGAAGTGGGGATCTGAAAGTTCAAGGCCCCGTGATACTGTAGCTCTTGCATTGCCGCATCGTTTCATGTGCCATCTGAGGAAGCATCAGCACCCGGCTCCATGCAATCTCAATTCGTTATCACTGTATGTACCACGACTTAAATTAGCTACCGTTCAAATGCCCTCAGAATTCCCTGTCTGGATTGCTAGATTGCTACGTGATCGTGTGAGGGTTAATTTGGGTGGCGCTCTTGGTGGCCCAATCAACAGAGACAATACCAAAGCTCCTAGGACACAAGGTAGCATTATTTTGCTCTGCCAGTACTGCAGCTGATGTGAGCCAATAGCAGTGGTCTTTGCGCGTGATTCCGTCTTGCCCGACCCAACAATACTGGCAGCGTTGGTTCTTTTTCAAAAAGAGGTGAGCGGGACTCAGTCCTTGCTTATTGATTTCTTTCCATTGGCTACGAACAAGACTAGTCCCAAAGCCTCTGTGCACAAGAACAGGCACTAGCAGGGCCATGAGTTGTTTTCCATATCTGAATTAGATGTGCGGCTGAGATGATGACGAAGTGGGGGCCTTTCAATTTTACAATGTTTAAAGGACAGTCTTTTCTCTTTCTCACGATTTTTATTTTCTCACTTCCAACCAGCATTCCGCGCGCAAAAATTACCGAGCCCGACCATCCTTCCTTCGATTTTGAAGACACGAACAATGTTTGTTTGTCCTTGACAATTCCCCACAAGCTGTGCTCGCATACTGACAAGATGCACAGATGTGTTCCTGGAGTCAAAGATTGTACCAGGGTTGCGGATGCCTTGGCAACCCCGTGAAAACAGTCCACTGTTCGGCTGGGAACTGTGACAGTAATACTCGGACCCCTGCGCAGGAAACTACTATCGAAACTGTTGCGGCAAAATGTCCCATCCACACTCATCGGATGACGCCATCTAGCAGCGAAGGCTCGTTCTCATAAAGTTGAATAACCATTTACCGCTCTCTTGGACTTCCATTTTGGATAAGAGGGACACAAGCTGATCAGCAACATGATCAATTGTGCTCTTGGAAACTGGTGATTCATCGTGGAGAGATTTCTCAGCGGAAAGGAATGTGAAAATGACCTAAGGAACATAAGGTTATATCGTATTCGCCATTCATATGACCGAGTACACGAAATGTACTTTCCTAGTCTAGCACAGAGAATAATTTATGCTACGCCCTGTCTTCATCCACATTGTAGAGCCATACATGGCTTCCTTATTGGAGATTGCAAGTAATCAGGATAGAAGAGAGTGGTCACCGGGACGTGGTTGTGGGAAAACAATATGGAAAGAGATAGCAGAAATAGTCTTCTGTCTTGTCTCTTAAAGTGTCGTCTGGAGGCTTCAAAGATGAATAGCAAGTCAACGGTAAATAGTATCAAGCAGAGAGTTGGAGATGTAGGCTTACAGTGCTAAGTTGAAGTGTAGATTGTGACTCTCCCACAGAAAGTAAATGTAAGTGATAATTTACCACTAAGCCCGTTTTGGACAAGATCCACAAGAGAAGCTTATTAAGAAGCAAGCACATGTATGTAAAAGGCGGACGGAGGTGTTTAGAGGAACAGCTGTTTAGTGATAATCCATTGCTACGTACGAGACCTTAACGATCCATCGATCGTCGACAGTAAAAACAGGGATCGACTTGGTAGTTGGTAAAACACATATCAATACCAGTTTGAATCACCTCAGTGGTTCATTCGGATATCATCGCATACTGTAGTCTTCTAACCGACACCTAATTTATTGCACGAGAAGTACGCATTACTATCCCACTGGTTTCTGCCAGCGCTATTCCAATTCTGGAAAGGGGATACCATGGCGGTGTGGACCCACTCAAATAAGGGTCGCGGCTCGAAAAGCGAACTTAGTAAATAAATCAACTTCTTCCACATTGCATCAACAACTACCCTGAAAATGGAAGAACAGATCCAACAGATTCGTGAGCATATCAAGAGTCAAATTCCAGATACCATCAATGACTTCCTTCAAACGGTCGGGACAACAGCGATACGAATACTTGGCGACACGCCTAACAGCGCACTCGACGTTGGAGATAAGCTGGGTTCCATACGTCAATTTGCGGCAAAGCTCGAGGAATCCGTTCGTGCAACCCGTCCCAACGCTGAAACTTGTTTCCTCGCCGTCAACATACACCCCCAGAAGCACTCTTATTTCGTGCTTGATGTCCACAATGTCGACTATGTCTACGAGACTGCGCACACTGACATGACCACGATACCAGTCTATGTTCTTCGCCTGTCGAAGAGGAGAATCAGCATCTTCAGACAAGAAAGGCTAGACGCTACTCTTGCTGTGACCCTAGCAGAAATGCACGATGGACACGGTCAAGACCCTTTGCCTTTGGTTGACGATTACAACCACACCGTCCAATACAAAAACCCCCGCAGCCTTTCGTCTCGATGACTTGACCAAGACGCTCCTGTCTTAGAGGGCATACAAAGAGTATCTCAGCACTGTCTAAGTATAATGGATCTTGTTCTCAATATATTCTCATGGGGGTATGGTGATGGGCAAGCAGGATAGTAGTGCCATGTCACCCAAGATCCCTCCATCTTGTCAGAGCTGTGGCGAATCAAATATTGAGGAAACATTTTGGAGACAGATATACATCATCATGTTTAGATTACATTTAGATGCACCAAAAAGGGCGGCGCAATCCCCGTCAACAACTTTCGTCATTTGTATTTCTTGATTAGACATTTGACTAAGGCAATTGAACAACCATACGACCAACTATGGAATCGAAGTATACGAGGATAAGTCGCTTTTCTGATGACTGTCTGTGCTCATCATCAGAATTAACTAGGCTAATCTGGTGGGTAAGCCCCTCTGCTGAATGTAATGTAAGCGCTTCGTCGGGTGTAGGAAGAGGCGTAGTGTAGTAGGTCCGATGGTTTTTGCTTCCACCGTTGAGCCGAAGCCTTCAATACAGTAACTCAGCTATCTTTTTTGCGAATCAACTTTCACTCTCGCGATCGTTCTAGGATGTATAGTAGCGGATTGTTTATCGAAATCATTTAGTTATTTGTTCCATAATCTCTCAACCTGCCGCTCCCTCTACTGACAGAATGACGTTGAAATGTCTTTCAAGCCTTCCAGTCCACATTTCTTGTGCCGAATGATGCGGGAGCTTGTTATCGTTCGACCCGTGTAAATCGTGGTATACAATTGTATGGTATCCTCCCTCGGGGCTCCTGTACACGCATCGATACCCTGATCCTGCTTGGTGTGTGACGTCGAAGCCTATAAGTTTAAGAAACTCCTTCCACTGCCCAAATCGCTTCTGTCCTTTTTCGTTCTGTATCCAATTCCAGCACTCTATATCCTTGGTGGCCGTGATGGCTATTGAGGGCCGAGGATGCGGCTCTCCTGTAGTGAATGAGATGCTGACTGTTCGCACCAATTCTAAGATTTTCCGTCCGGGTTTCTGTCGGGTTTGCCTTCTTCGCGACTTTTTCGATTTTGTTTGAGTTGGCGTGGTGTTCGTATCTTGTGATCTCCACCTCAGTTCCAAGGCAGTTGGTGCGGATGTGGGTGCGGATGCACTCGGGTCAGGGGCCTGGCTGAATATCATACTGACGATAGGATCGGTCTTGTTCCAGTTGCTCACGCATTCATAAATTCTATTCCAGAACTTGCAGTGGCGGTCTCCCAAGGAAACATCCTCGTTCCTGGCCTCTTTATTGAACTCATTGCCCTTGCGCTGAATTATTTTCAGAAAACCCTGGATTGGTAATACCCACGGTCGTTCACGTTCCTGCCACTCCGATGTGGCATCGTGGGCCAGAGTGGTATATTTTATATCCAGGTTGAGGATGCGACTCAAGTGTTTGGAAGTCTCCTGCATACAAGCAGCGATAATTGACATGTCGTGGAACGTTTGAGCGACTGGGAATGGGGGCGTTTCCTCAGGTTTGCTACCCGAAAGCTCCTGCTCAATTGTTCTGAAAACTGCATCGAAACCCATCAATCGTATTGTAGGGTCACTCTTCTCCACCAAGCCGTAAAGATAGCGTAATGTCTTATTTTTCGCCTTTCTGCCCAGCCACGCATTGCTCCGCACCGAAGAGGTAATCTCATTGAGAATAGAGCGAAGGGTAGCATGCATGGATATTGCGCCTGTGATCTGACCATTGTCGCAAGAAAATTGGATTGTGGACAAATTACCAGAGGACCTCATCTGGCGATCATTCCGACAAACACGGAGTTTCTCACTATTGGTGAGAAACAGATCGATATGTCCAAAGACAGAATGCAAGAGCCTCGAAGCGTTCCTGTCGATGTCCGTAAACCGCAGATTCCAATAATCTGCGTCAGTCCGAAGCTGCCATAGATCGTCCATCGCTTCATCAGCAGACGATGTCAAAACGTCTGTCAAGTAATCACAGTCTACATAATCTGGTCTCTTGTATTGTAGCAGCGCAAAGCGACTCAGAAGCGAGTGAGGTTTCTCGCGTTTGTCCCTTCCGATACTAGTAATTTGGTCGACAGGAGGCCCTATCTGAGCCGAAAGACACGAGACGAGAAAACAGTAGGTTTTCTTTTGCGCTATGAGTTGATGTAAGCCGATAGCTGGATCGATAAGGTGTGGCCTCTTGAAGACGTCAGGTTCAAATTGTATCCCGTACTGATCCTCGTCGATACCGGTTTCGGAATAAAACGATATTCTTCCCCCAACTTGCATTTGCGTAATCGATTTGATCCAGTATCCAAGCTCAACAAGGCGGGTATCTGTAGATAGGAACATCTTCGGATGTATGGCTGACCGAGTTTGTAACAGATCTGGAAGAACATTTCCCTCAGCCAGGTCCTCCACGTTGAGTAGAGGTGTCGGAAACGGTTCTTTGTCTAAAGGCTCGTTCGGATACCGCGCCAGCATGTGAATAACCAAGCCTGGGTATCGGTGGAGCTCGGTAAATCTTTGAAGCCAACTCTCTCGTGCATCACCTAGATAGTGTTCCTAGCTGCAAGTCTGATGACCGGCGGATCATAACATTAATCTCACTCTGAACGGTCCCATATCGCTTGTAGTCCCGCCCCTTGTCAAATCCATCTGACCTGCTCATCAACTGCGCTCCATTCCAGACGACTCTCCACCACTACGTAGGAAAGAAATCAACCCTGACTTGTGCCTCTCAGCGAAATGCGCGAGTATCCGATAGGTAGCAGCCGCCACAGAGCTTCAGGCTGTCGACTACCGCTATCAAGTCTTTCTCCCGCAGAAATATTCTAAAAACCCGTCTGCACTCAAGTCGTGGTTCACAAACTTGGCACCTCGGCTAACATTGACGTGGTTCATTTGGCGATAGGAGGCTAGGTCTTCTGCGCCTTTCTGTATACTCCCAACCTACAGCAAGAAGTGAGTAACCTGTCGAGCCATGTAACTGATTACGGGAAATGGTATCATACGGTGCAGATATTCTAGTCCAGCGAACCAGATTTCACCACAATTGGCATCGAACTGTTCTGCTTCGGCCGTTGTCTCGATTTGTCCCCCATATTTTCAACTGTCCTGTTCATGATTGTTCTGGCATCAACGACAAAATTTGACATGGAATGTATGGTGGTGTAGCCTAACGAGTTTTGTAATCAGGAGACGCGTTCGGTGAAAGTATTCACGGTGGGTTGTGGAGGTACCTGGGTTGATGTTTTGTTCGCCATCCCGGTTACTTTCGAAGCCTGGAGAACCAGACTATTGATATTATCAATAAGATATAGCGATAAATTACGAGCAAGAATAATGTAGCAGAAACATACCTTGTTGTCCTCATTTACCTGCGATTGCGCCGACCCCTCCCCAGGTACCGTTGATTCCTGATGGGAGGATTGAACATCGCGATGACGGGGAGATGAAAGGAGGCCGGCCGCCTCTTGTACCAATTTAACATTCACATTACCGGCATATACACTGTAATGACATTGCTATGGAATGTTCTGTAAAGTGATGGTGTGGGCCTGCGGCGAAAGTGATAGCCACTGGGACGCCCGGCCAACATGACCGATATGGAAGGAGGACGAAGGCCGAAGTCCACGGGCCTTCTGGGTACCAAGGCCCCGTGACCAATGATTGTCACGTCATGCTCCGCCTGTTCCAAAGGAAAGCGCTGTATAGTTGGCTAGACGGTGTCAATAGCGCAAGTACCAAAGAAAATATCTCAGCAGAGTGTGGAAGGTGAAGGAAATAGTCTGCCTATGTCTGGCGCTCATTACGTATGATGGACTTCAATCGCAATGATGGTGAGCCAAACACTTTGCCAATCTGTAAGTGGATCGGCCAGAGAATGGCCGGGTTTCATAGGCCAAGGGTGTAGGCGAAGAGAAGGTTCAGACCAGAAAACTTGGGGTCGGTCCGGGTCACATCGGAACGCCTATTTGAGGCAAGAGCGCCTATCCTCTGATCCACCGACCCCTTGCAACTCTGGCTCCTAGAGTGTTTACTGGCAGTGAGCTAGCCTTCTGCTCCTAGCCAGGAGGGAGGTCAGTCTCATGACTGGAATCCAGATCACGCCTTCCGGTCCCCGCGCGTGCTTTATTTTTAGCTTGAAGGCAGGACACAAACTTCTTCCTACTCATCAAGCCCGCTGCATAAAAGTACTTGCAGGTAATCCGACCACTTGAGCCATCTGAACATACAAGACTCTAATCTAACTCATTATTATTGGCAGTATGTACCATGACGAAACGCCATTCAACGTCAGCACAAGCTTCCCGTACGTGGGAGTCCAAGCAGACTGCCCGTATGGCCCAACATACGCTCCTTTGATGCGCTCTGCCCCTAAAATCAGCCCAGCAAGTGGTCATGATATGGAGTCTCAACAAGCGCAAAGCTGGCTCGGTGCACCTGCACCTTCAACCGTCACTCAATCACCCGGGCCGAATGTGACTTATCGAGAGATAAGGCCTAAGCCGCCGCATAACCCAACACCCATATCACATCTACTGGAAACTGAGGATGAAGAGAAGCACAAGCAGCACCGGGTGCTGCGGCGTGGGAGACACTCAAAACACCGAGGACAGTTAGGCCATGAGCAGGTCCAAAGGACACCCAAAAAGGCGCGTCGAACGGAATCTGAGGTGACTGACACCGCACCCCTATCAGTCAGAGATAATGGATTGAGGTTTGCATGGCTTTACTTCCGAACTTGCGTTCCCATTTGTGGCTAAGTCGACTCTTTCAGTACAGGGCAAACTCCATCATTTTCGAAACAAAATGCAGCCACACATGTACCAAGCTCGTCGTCGCCTGTTTCCATTCTAAATAGGCAACAGAGCACGGTCCATATTCCAGTCGAGGCTCTTCAAGAAGCCATGAAAGCTCAAGTTTTACAATCACTGATGGTCCTGGGCCCAATCGCTAGCGAGTTCAGCGCAGTCAACCTGGAACTTGAGACGTTGAATAGTTGGATGGCAGAAATCGAAGGAGTCAACGCGAGAAGAATCCCTATTGCATCAAATGCAGTCGTCCATGTGCTTGCTTCTTTCGAATGCCTGAACTCCATCTTCACGAAATGCATCACTGCTTCAGGCCCAATGCGAGGCTCCATTGTCAGAGACCAAGGTCTTAAACTACTGTACTATATACAGACATATGCAGACAAGTACCACCTAGTCCAGAGCCCGAAGGTGTATCTCGACATTGGTAGGTGGATAGAAAGACTGAGCTTAGCCACTCTTGATGAACAAGTTAAATGATGTTGTTTTGCCCGGAGCTCATGAATGTACACTTGCTCATTCCATGCGTTTTTGTGTCGATGATCGATTTTGTGTATAATCCAGTCTAATACTGGTATTCTGCGAGGATACTTTGTCATATACAGCATCACTTATTCCAGGTTTGCAGTCATTGTTCGAGATTTCCGCATGTTCCTGGTTCTGGCGCTTTCATTCGAGATAGAGAATCGATATCACCCAGTCCAGATACTCTGGATCCAGCGTTGTGCTTTCTCGATTTACTGGCTCCATCGTAACGGCCTCATGGATACTGCAAACTCAGATCCTCTTGTCTGGTTGATAGCATGGTATCTCGTTGTAAGGCCTCGTCTTTTGCACCGCCTCATTTTCATGATAAAATAGATCGGGCCGACTCGTTCACGTAAGGAACCTGTGTATAATTCAATATCATTAGCTTCTGGTTCCTTTGTGGGTAAAAATTGAATTTCAACAGACTCATTTGCCTTATGTCTTTTGTGGACAGCGCGCTATCTCATCTGCCGTTCGTGGGAGGGATCGCATCGTGCTTAGCCTAGTCGATAGACTGGATGGAAGACAGCTATCTGTCTACATGATGGGAGGTCGGCCAAATCTAGTAATGTATTAGTGGATGCCTCACAACTTGGTGGGCGTCATAGGAGGGATGGGAGAACGGTAGTTTGGAGTAGTGGAACTTGAGGGCCCAGGACGCAGATATTCCTCGAAAGCCTGGACACATCTTCGACAACAGGAAGTTCGCTTGGAATCCCTGCGTACACAAATCCTTCTGTGAATTTGCCCTTCGCTGGCTACACAGTCAAGTTGGACCAGCCTGAACGGCCTTCAAAAGTCCTTCAACCTGGAGTGTGCTTTGTGGACGGTCGTTGCTGGAAAGGGTTCAAATAGTGCATTTAATTATTCAGCGGCTCTGTATGTGTACGGATTAGCTCAATTTGTTAGTCGGTGGATGTCATTTTTGAATCCTGGGAATGGGAGGGAGAAGGCTTGAGAGAAGGAGAAATGTATCGCTGACTACCCGTTTTAGGTAAGGCAAACTTGGGTCTTCTGCACTCCTCCTTACCCTAGCACGCACCTGGACGTTCTGGTCATTCCTATCTCTTTCAATCATCAGTTTCTTCTACCACCAGGCAAAAACAACGCCCGTTTTGCTATCTCACTTCTGCTAGGCCTCTTTACCGGTAAGTTCAAGCTGAACAATCCTCCAAACTCTACCGACCAAAGCTCTTCAGGCTTGGGCTTGAGGGCGAACCGCCAAGATTCTATGCTACCAAGCATTGTCTAGGATGTTTTGAAACTCGAACATGCATTGAATTATTCTAGTTCCAGCGATAGCAACCCTCAGTCCCACCAAGCTCCTGGCCACTCCAACCCGTCTCTTCATCACACGACCGTCGTGCGTGATCACTTCAATTGGTTCAACCGAAACACGGTTAAGCATCAGTTCCAGCGCACGATATTATCCTAACGCTCTTTGGACAAAGGATTTCTCGTCTTCCGTCAGTGCGGAGGGTCCTGCGTGGTCTAAGGGCTAGTCTGACCCAGTCAAGAGTGCTGCGACAAGACTCTCGCGCGTTGGCTTGTAGGGTGAGACACGTCTAAACAATCTCTCGCATATTGGACTCTGACTATATCTTTCCCAATCAAAGGACGTCCCTGAATACCCTTAGCTGAATGCTACACCAGTTCATTCCTCAGCCAAATTGTATATGCTCGTTTATGAGAGGCCCCGGCTTCTGGCAATTTCAGAAAGCCAAAAAAACTAGCGCTAAAATGCGAGATGTTGCCTTTACTTTGGAGATAATCCGTTTTGTTGGGTACTAATGGTCAGCGACTCTGGAGAAGGATCCCCATGCTCAATGCTCACACCACGTTCAACAATCTGAGTACATCCTTATCGCCGGGATACATATAGGATATTCGGGCACCCGCAACTCCTTTCCTCGGTGTCACGACGGGAAAAGCAAAGGAAAATCTCAAATTCTGCTTCTCCAACTGCGACATTCCGGCGGTTCTTTGTCCGGAACCTGATCTGGTTCGATTACAATGTGCGGGGCGTTCCGCATCAAATATCATGCAGAAAGCACGTTGACGAACTACAGTCTCCAGGAGCACCAACGAGAATGCGTGTTGCCTCTATGGCTCGCATCAACTCCAACTGGTCATGCATGCTAGTTGTAGCCCTCGATGTCTATGTATGTTCCAGTGTGTACTACCGACCAAACAAGTGTTCCCCGTGTTCTCATCATTTGAGAAAATAAAGATGGGAATCAAGAATTCGATACCGGTTAGAACCACGCCACTGGAATTGACACAAAACTACGTAGAATGATTCTAACGCTGCGCGGGGGGCTGTAGAGGCAGATCCCAAATTTTGTTACACTTCTGGTGTTTTGCAGGTTGATGGTAAAGTAAAAAGTACCGTACCATTCATGAAACCTGTATCTCCAGTAATAACTGTACGTGTGTCATCGGAGATGCAGTCTTTGGAAGTATACTCGATATCCCTGAACTTCTTCGAACCAAGAATACGCATGAATACACCTAATTTTTCCTAGCTGAGAAGGTGTAGACCTTTTCGGCCGAGCGGTCATGAAACAGGCGTTTTTCTACACGACAACTTCCTACGAGGGACGAAGGTGCCTGATTCAAGTCAGCAACCAACTCACTTACTCAAATGATGCATCATATGTACCTGTGGCTCTCTGCTCATTGAATTTGGAATGAGGGTGGCTGGGTATGATTCCGTCCTCCTGGGATAGTTGCTAGTCATGCGGTGAAGAAGCAGGGTCAATAAAAGGTACTGTGAGAGTAAAGTCATTTCGGAAAAGCTTTAGGTCCGGACGTACCTGATCCTGGTTACCCTTCATGGATATCGACATTGGCCTTCCGGAATCAACCTGATGGCTTTTGGGTAGGGGCTCGTAGATTTATTAGAAAGATTATCTTGGGGGAAAATTACCTAGAACCAATATACGATGCCAGTTCTTTTTTCCTCCAGATCTGGTCAGATAGACCCATTTACCACTGTCGAGACCTTACTTGAATCGGGGTTGTCTTGGGATGGTGCACCTTGACAACCCCCTTTCTGTCATCCGATGGTCATCTTGCGGAACGTTTTCTCGGAATACGAAAAAACGTAAATATGGCAGATACCCTGGAATGAGATAATGAAGACAAATCACAATGTGAGGGGGAATGGATCGACCATGGCCCTAGGTGTTAGATTACCCCTAGCAATGTCTATGTGATGTATGCCTTCGCCCTTCATGTTGGTAATCTTGCGCCGTTGGTATCCGGCATTGACACATATGCCATACGGCTGGATGTGGAAAAAAGTGCTGATCTATTAGATTGTCGCGAGACCCTAGGAACAAGGCTTTATCATCAAATCCTGTTTCATGCTAGCCAGCGGTTATGGTTCAGACCCAGATACTGACGCCTGCTGCGCCTACTTCGGACTAACTATTTCAGGTAGGATCAAAGTTTGGTTCGTCTACGCTATCTTTCAATAAGATTGAGAGCATTAGAACATAAAGGTAGTAGTTAAAAACTTTCGCTAGTACAATGCCCTAGGAGCGAAAAAGAAGCGCCAATCCCTCTCCCCGGACCTTCGATCATAAAGGCCCGTCCTACTCTACGAAAAAGTGCAATCATCATTCTCAGTATTTCCCACTACCAAACGTACTATTCGTTTCTAAGGAATAATTTGTGCTGATCTATTCTCCATAGACTTGGAGAAGCTCGGAGGTTCATGGGAAAGCCTCCACTCCGGATCAATATGAGCACCCGAGATCAGTTCACATTTGGCCGGGTGAGTTACCCAATCTCATATACCTCACCACAATACGTTTCGGAATATCCCCCGGTAGTGGACGAAAGGTCTATTGGGGCTTGCCCTCAAAACTACGACTTCATCTACGAAGAACCTCCTCCAGCACCCTTTTTGGAAGCAGCAGCCGCAATCTCTCCCTCTCCCTCTCCTTCTCCCTCTCCCTCATACTCAACCCCAACCTCCAAATATCGCGCGATCTGGCCTCGACCCAATGAGTACGACCCCAAAACCAGAAATCCCGGCGATGCGCTGCGATTGAAGCCTCGGAAGCGTTAGAGAAGCGAAACACGCCGAAAAATCCAACGCCCGCCACACGAAAGGAGTGACAAGTCAAAGACCGCTGAACACGAGGGGGTGGCCAGCAGGGTCTCTTCAGCTAGACCCGAGGTAGAGAGGTTTGAATTTGACAATCGTTTGATACGTCCACATATCTTAATTCTGACTCAAAACTATAAAATCCAGTTTCGCACCCTTCAGCCAAGATACGGATTTTCACCTGTGCCCGAGCACTCAAGAACTTTTTTTTCGCACCTCGTCCTCAATTTCACCTTCAAACAGCCTCACAACTCGCCTTTTGCCCAATGATACTCCCGAATCGCTTGTTCCTGGCCGGTCAACCTATCACCACGATGTGCAGCTCTCCCTCTTTTCGCTAGAAAATCCGTTCCCATGTACGAGTGCATCCATTCAGCAATATCACAGGCAGAATCCTATGGAAGAAGCCTTTATTGGATTCACAACACATCTTAGAAAAGCCCAAGCTCTCGACAGGAAGATTTTTGAGGCTTAGTTTCTAGAGTAAATAGGCCACCGACCGCCACGAGCATGCAAAGAACGGTGACTATGAACTAATTACTTGGTATTGTCCATTCCCTTCATAGCCAATGACGCGAGCGCAAAAGATGCAGAAAAGTCCATCAATGCCGGCTGTCTTTATGATGCCCCCGATGAAAATATTGTCAACAGCATCTCAAAGGTACTCGCTCTTACAGCAAATTTTCTTCCCAATCTTCTCAAAATTTTGGGCTGATTTAACGACTTGAGAACTATGCTGCGTGAGTTGCTTTCAAGTTGCCGCTAGATTCGTTGACCCCGATGGTGTACCGTTGAGCCCCCCTCTTTTTCTAGGAGCAAACCAGATCCAAAGTCCAAAGTCGCAGGATCAAAGGCAGGTATAATGTTCAGATGCAGTGCAAGCTCTTTCTTTCAATCATCAAATATGGTATCATCAAAGGAAAGACAGCGTCCCACATTGCTCAGCATACGAGCAGGAAATGCACACCATCTGGTAAAATCAAATTATCGTTAGACAAGAATGGCTGAAAACTTTGAACAAAATCGATCCGCAGTTCGGATATTATAAGGGCTCTCGGTAGTCCCTAGTGTTGGGTTGAATGTTTGATTTACGAAACATGCGAAAAGACCGGAGAAATTTCGTTGAGTAATCATAGCTTTGGTATCCACGTTTTACACATAACCAGTTTCAATACCAATAATTCAAAAATCCAATGCGTGGTGTGCATAGATAATTTTGCCGGCCAACCATCCCATTATGATTGGCATCTAGTTGATTTTGTATCTCTCCATATGAAAATAGAGGGTGGTGCAGTATGGAGATGGCGTGGGATCCATAGATCAATATCAACTTCTAGTTGGTCAAGATAACCCTGGGCCCAAGAGCAATACGAGCTATATATTATCTGTGCAAACCATGTCGTGACCTCGAGTGTTCGAGCTGCTATTACTCATTCGCGCAAAGACACCGATAAGCCCTCGCTTTGAATGCCCACCATCCATCTCTGAACCGTCTCGGCGGCTTGCCTTTCAAATCTTGAAGGGTGATTCGCCATGTAATCCTGCACAATGCTTAATGACTGCAGAATGCTGGAAGCTGCAAGGAGGACCTCACTCCTAAGCGTGGCATCCAGAGCTGTACATACTGCCCCGGTTGAGCCACACACTCCATGGGAACCGCAACGTCAAGCCATAGGAGCCGGTTGGAAGACCGCGCGAGCGCCCGTCGAGAGGTGATGCGCCACGACCTGTGGAGCCACATGGTCTGCAGACATGTCCCAGCACTCCAGTCCAATCCGGTGCAAATACCGCCCAGTAGAACCCAGTGGTAGGCCGATGCGCGATCGATTAAATGGTAGGCAAGGGCGCTGGTGGCGATGGAAGCAAGCACATGGTGGACTTTGAGGCCGAGTTGCGGCCAACGTCGAAGAATCGCAGCGAGCACCCAAGGCAAGATCGATAGGAGACTACAACCAGCCTGTTCAACATTAGCCACTTTTCTTGCTAACATACCGCTGGAAAATTGGGGATGCTGCCGTTGTCCGGCCCGCTTCACGCACCACGAGCGGAACGACGAAAAGAGCTGCAAGTCTTGTATTCCGAGCGACTGTACTTAAGACGAACCCATGAAGCAGGCAGTGCAATGCGCAAATGCGGCCTAGCCACCGAAGGGCCCATTGCACCGTGCCCCGTTCAACGCGGTGGACATGGGCCGGGAGACTGAAGCTAAGTCCGGAGTAAAGGGGAACAAGATGTGTGACTGCCAAGCATCCAGCTCGCTTCTGCACTTCCACCCATGATCGAGCATGAAAGCTGACTGTAATGATGATGGCAATTACCAGGGCCGTAACTATCCTACCTTGCAAGTATGATGGGATATCCAGCCACTGGAGCGGGCCTGGTGTTGGCGCTTGGAAGAAACGTCTCCGGAATATCGCGGGCTGCAACCTCAAATGCCCGTGGCTGTATCGGCGCCCGAGGCTATAAGACAGCCAGTATACGAGAGCGAGAAGCCCACAGAGACTGAATATATCTTGGACGGAAGCTCTCGCAAGCTATTCGGCAAACTTTGAGCTAAGGCGGGGCATGCTTTTACGAGAGGCAGCACTGGACGTCAGCAGGTTTATATATTGTTTCCTAATGGTTGTTTAATCAACGCTGACCTATTGCTTTCATTTGGACAGTCAATTCAAAAGCAACTCATTTGACGCTATGCTACTACAACACTGCGTATATATACCTTGGTACGTGGCCGCTTAATATGTGGCCAAGGTGGTGTTTAGAGCGTTATGGATTATCAAAGTGCTTGCAGGGACCAATTGAAAATTGGTGACAGTGTGTCGACCCTAGGCGACCGCGGTATATCATTTTACAAACCCCCAACATGGTATGAGTTTTCTTACGCATATTTTCAGTCGAAGTGCTCAGGGTTGATTCATGTCGGCATATCCAAGTTTCTGTATCGGGATCGAAGCCACCGACAACCTTTCAAGCTCAGGTGTTCAAGTTATCTCGAAGTTGAAATGTTGAAAAACGGCATATATCTCCAGCACCAGTCTTTTGTTGATGTTATCTTTTCCGGTATTAGATGTCCTGAAACCTTTTATTATTAGGCCCATGGTCTCGGGTCAGAGCAATGGAGCAATTGCAGAGAGTCTTTTAGTGCTGATGTATGAAGCTGAATCTTGCGTTATCCTGCATACAGTCAATCTGGCGAGGCTAGAAAAGAAGCTGGCTGCCTGTTTGGCCATGGGCCTTCGTTAGAGGAGTGCCGCCAAAGATGCAAGTGGTTTTGTGTTTTGTGAATGGGCTGACATGACCAATGCCATTAATAGATTTGAAAGAAATGTGAATGTTGCACTGTCGCACATGAACAGACTCACGACCATAAGAGGATTCGATGAATGAGGGTGGTGTAGCTTCGCGCCCACGAAATGTGCATGCAATGGAGGATACGTTTCTTGCAGCTACTACCAACGAAATTGGGGGTGTGATCTATAAGGCGATTCCGAACCCCATCAAAGCAGGACAGGTAGAAACGCGAGAGTGATAAGCAGAACGTCACAATGAATAACTTTATTAGAAAAAATTGGAAATCAAAATTTGAAAACAGAGCTAGAACAACTTTGGTTACCATTAAAATATTCCCCGTGAGGTTGGCAATTATTGGCCGAATGCATGAAGCATCGGGAAGAAATATCAACAAGCCCAGCGCTAAGACTCCCGTGGCGACTTGTATAAATTTGCAACATTACGTTATTGGATGTGACCGATTTCTAGTACATGGAAGGCTAGAGACAACTACGAGAGCCGTGCGCCGCATGCGATGCTGGATCAGTGACTTGTGTTCCAGCTTTCAAGCGTAGTTTTTTGATTTCACCACAAATACAAACCCATGACAAGAAAGTGGGAGCTCTGTCTCGTTCTACTATGCAGCACAGAAGAAAGAAAAAAATGTTACCAAGTTACCACGACATAGTTTGAGCCAAGGAGAAAAGGGTTCACTTGGTATTACGCTCTCGCATATAGCTAATCAAGAAGCGCGGAGTTGAAGAGTCTGTGTCCCGTATCGGTGGGCCCTTTGCCGGTGAATTGATTGTTTGACAGGCGAAGAGCAACGAAAGACAAACGCCGGAATCGCGAGAGCTCTTGCGCAATTCTACTCGTGGAAACCGATTTTGTCTGAATGACACCAGCAACGACGACGATGCGGATAGAGACATGAAGGGCTCGAATGTGCTGCACAAATTCCAAGATTGATAGGCCGGTGTTGACTACCGAGTCAACGAGAACGATCGTCTTGCGACCTTCAACATGCTTGTGCTGAATGTCGCCTGGGAATTTTGCATGGAGGAACATGGCGAGTGGGAAAGCCCTATTCACACCCAGTGCCATCGGTTCGCCACCTCGCATCAAAGGCACAATCAAGGTTTCTTTCTCATGAAGAATTCGAAAACCATCTGTTTGATGACCTTGAACATGGGTTATGTGGAACGTCTCAACGCCAAGAATCTGGGTACAGAATTCAGTGGCAAGATACCATCCGACTTTAGAATGTGCATCCCGCAGTGCTGGCCCCGATATCGCTGCATCGCGCATCGGTGTCATGAGCAACTGGGCCGCAAAACGATCAGTAGCATGAAGAACATGAAGGTTTTGGCGTCGGACAAATAATGACTCAACAAAAAATTGATCCGTCAATTGTACTAAAGGCAACCGGGACGCATCAAGGCGGGCGGTTGCATTTGGAGGGAGCACAGCCTGGCGCGGCCGAAATCCGTCCTTCCCGATATATCTTGTCAAAGCCTCGTCCATGCTAGTACTTCTCAATGCTTTGTCACCTGTCACAACAATCGCCTGGTTCGCCGCTTGGAGCATTTCCACATCCAATGGGCTATCGCCAAAGGCCCAAACCTAAGCGTCGTGCACATCACGCAAACGCGTCACGAGTGCTGCTTTCAGAGCGGGTGTCATGACAAGAGCGTCCGAGAAGCGCCCCCCCACCAATCACTGTGACTGTTTTCGCCAGACCCTCCCTCTTCAGAACTTTCTCCCAGACTCTGCGAAGCCCACAGGTCAACACCAGCGCGCGGACGTGGGTCTGACCTGACACTAAGTGCAGAAGATCTAAAATCTCAGAATGGACCTTGATCATGAGAGCCACTTTGTCGCAGCAATCATCATATTCTTTGTTGTCGACAATGACTTCTTCGCAGAGGAAGGTCGCTTGGCGGAAGGCAGTATATGAGTAGTGCAAAGGGCTGCTGAACAAACTTTTCAAGGTGTATCTCTCCTCCGCCTCAGCCGAAGGTGTGGAAGCGAGCTCCCAAAATAGTTCACCGCTGTCCTGCGGTGCGAGTGTTTTGTCGGCATCAAAGACTAGCACGGTCTCCGACCGTTCAGATCCGTTCGTTATGCAGTCGTCCATGCGTTGCTGGGCCAGTCTGGAGTTCAAGCCTTCTGTATGGATCTTAAGATCCTGAATGAAAGGAACAATCTTCCCCATTGATACCTGGCGTTGAGTAATGGTCGTGAAAATGATGTCGTGCGACCTGCAAATGTGACGCAATCGCTTTTTCTCTTCTTGCTGCCATTTGTCCAAATGAGCAATTGACGTCGCTGGACGACTTCGTTTCTGATCGCCAGAACGATACTCCGCGATGTTCTCGGCTGGCACATCCAAATACAATATGTGAGTGTATGTGTGTAAATCAGCTGGTGTGCACACCAGTTGACCGGCAGCTTCTTCGGCCCAAAACATGGCATGTCCAGTGACTATGGCACTCCTCCCACTGTGGGAGCTGTCCTGTTTGATCCTTCGAATCGCAAGATCACGAACCCTTTCTTTGCTATCTTCGTTCAAGTTCTGAAATGCTTGGAGCCCCCCAGGCGTAGCCGCCGCAATTGCCTGACTGCCATCATAGAAGGAAAACTCGGCATGGCTCAGGCCACACTTGAGAATATCCAGCAAGAATGATTTGCCAGATCCAGGGAGGCCATAGACGCCAATGATGACTGGTTTTGGACTGTCGACCGAGACCGGGTTGGTGGTTGCGTGATTATGGCTGTCAATGCCATTGAGATATGATACAGTGAGAGGTTGCATAACTGGAGTTGAGGTAGGGTAGAAGTTGACATGAAGCAATGTAAATGTGAAGGTTGAATTTTGGGCGGAGAAGGAAGAGTAAAACCTGTACTGGCAAGGCTTATATCATGGCCTACTGGTGAAGAAGCGGTCTCAAGGTATACGTGGACCGGTTAGCAAAGTAGGTGCTGGAGGAAGAGGAAATATCGAGATCAGAAAAAGCGAGTAAAATCATAGCGAGCTAATCAACAATCACCAGGGCCCCACTCATCATCAGCAGGCCACGCAAGGCCATATATTTCGATATATCAGATACCTGAGCTGCAACACCGTGACTAAGGTAGAAGCGGCCAGACACGCCGGAGGCCACGGCTTACTCGCCGGAACTCTTTGGAGTCTATTTGGTGTCGGCAGGCCACAGAAACGATCTTTTCATCCTTGCTCGGGTTCACCACCTCATGTATCGAGTTCCAGCGCTTTTCCATGCAGATCAAAGCAGCCACTTTGAAAAAGAACCATCGCGAGGTGAACTTGGCCAACATGTAAACACAGATTGGAGCGATCTGGTACCCAGAGAGAAAAGGAACCCGACGGGATGTAAATCCGTCATATTGAGCCCGTGTGATTGAAAACATGACATCTGAGGCTTCACTTAGTCTAGAAAAACGCGTTTTTGCAACTCGGAGCTCCTGGAGCTCCTCGCGGAGCCGGTCTCGATGCCAGGAGGCTTGTGGCTGCCGAGGAAGATTCAAGCTCTTGAGCCATACTCGTAGTGTTGCTTGCCCCAGTTGCATCGGTAATCGTGTCACTGAATGCATCTTGAAATTCAACGCTAACAAATTTCGGTCATCCAATCGTCGGCTTATCGAGAAGGAAGATTCGCCGGTGGCTAAAAAGGGGCTACTAAGATCCAAGTCCCCATCGGAGACGGAACATCTTGGTTCCGATTTTGATTGCTGCGGCAAGCGCGCCAGGGTGTTCCCCAAGTTCGAAAATGATGATTCTCCATCTTTTACTGCCTACTGCATGCCTCCCGCGTGGTAGTCCTCCTGCATGGTAGTCCTCCTGCATGGTAGTCCTCCTGCATGATAGTCCTCCTGCATGGTAGTCCTCCCGCATGGTGGCCTCCTGCATGGCAAAATAGTTTTTTTGGTCCTATTGGGGATATTGCTAGGAGCCAATCAATGACTCGGAATTATATGCTGTTTCAAGAGCTGGAATGTCTTTTGGATGATTAATATATAAAGTCCACCGATGGCCCTTGTTTGTATTTTCGCTCGCCAACTTGGTAAACAAGAAAGTCAAAATGTATGCTCAAGGGGAGAGACAAAATGTTACAAGTATGGCTCGACATGACTATGCAAAGATCTAGAGATCGATCCAAAACAGATCGGTTGCCCCGGACTTGACTCGTACCAGAGGCTTATCGGTCGACTTTATGAGCAGTCATTTCTTTTTTATGCGCGTGGACAGACACGTGGCAATCATACAACTTCATCTGTTGAGCTTGATGCCACCCGGGCGCAACGCCGTCGATTTCTGTAAAAGTATTGTGACGTTCTGGATTCCGAAAGGGAGGTAGAGCATGCACTGCAATTGGGCTTGAGGGGCTCGATGCGTGCTAATTGCAACTTCTATATTGCCCCGAGGAAAGTAACCGATAAAACCGCTGGCTTTTCCCGAAGCATTCTTGGCGTTTGACAGGCCATAGCCCACCAAGCTGGCACAAATGATGCTTGCAGACAATCGAAGTTCTTTCAGCTATGCATGAGATTTCCTGCTGAGCGCATCGAATAGGAAAGCAAATGTTTTTGAACAAACGTAAAAGACTGCCTTTCCAAGCTGAATGTGTCGACCACTTTCACCTATCAATAAAGTTCCTTTTCTAATTTGTTGAAGGATTCAAAGATTCGCGGTTGATAGAATTGCTGCAAACAGCTATTGGCTTCGATGATCACTTCAGACTTTGCGAATTCGCACACGACAACCGCCGTTCCGATCATATGAAAGAGATTTTGGGACGCGGTTTGGAATATGAGAGACGGTCAGGTCCTGCCAGCAGGCTATCATCTTTCATCCTTGTACAACATTACATTGGTCGACTCTCTCATCACATACGGGCTATAAAAGAGCTGCTTCGGGATGCCCAGGATCTGAGTCACCTTCTCGATAACCACGCTGCTGTAAGATTTATGCACCATCCGCCATACCTTCACCCATTCGCGACTCGCACACCAACTTTCAGGAAATTCTGAACCGAATGTTGAAGAAAAATGATAGTGATAGGAAACTGCTCGACGATGGTCCCCTCCACTTGGATAAGGAGACCGGGATCTTTGAATCTTTTCTGCTTCAATACGATGGCTCCTTGCTCGAAGTCCATGCAGAGGTCCAGGTATTGGAGTGCTTCCACAAGATGCAAAAGTCATTCACGGGTGACGATCGTCTCATCGGTTTTAGTGAACCAGCTTGCCACAACTACGAAATGTACTTTAAATATCATCCAGCCCGTGTGATGTCTTCCTCTGACCGCAAGATTTGGACAAAGTGGAGTCCTCCACATGTGTAACAATTTGACGACAAAACCCCTGCCGCCAGGCAACAAAAGCATATCTTGAACAAGATGACGCAAGACTTTCGCGCGCAAGTGATAACGCATGTTATGCAACACTTACTATCAAGCCGTTGGCATCCCGATTCAATCACGAACATCACAGATATCCGGCAATTTGGCATCACCTCTGACTCGATTGAGGTATCCGGTGCAGAAACTCCTGAGAATCCTCCAAGTACCTATTCAGAAATTGTCAAATCAAATCCAACAGTCCGCCCTACACAGATCTTTCAGGTAATCCAGAAAGAGAGTCGGACTCTGATGAAGATTCGGGCTCAGAAAAGGGGGGATATCTCTATTTGGCAGCGATTGAAAGCTCCAGCATGTGCTGATCCTTATTCAATAGCAAAATGAGCTTAATCTCGGCTTTTATTTTTCCCAGAATTACCCAGCGGAGCGGAGATAAAATTTATTTTTGATTTGTATAGAAGTGATTTAATCATTATTCCTCGTCGCCATTCAGAATAAATTTCGCCTGGTGCATCTCTATCTCATTAAACCTAAGAACCCATATCATTCATGGAGTCTCCGTGGCAAAAGGTGGACGATAAGACAAGACTGCGGCAACAGGGAAGGACTTGAGAGTTTGAAGTGTCAGACAACATGTGTAAAATTACCATGGGAAGGTGATTCAAATACTTTGTTTTTATAGCTAATGCCTAGTGTTCAGATTGCAAAGCGCTTTCCGGATCTCGTTCGCTCGTCGGTCGCTTGGCGAATAACGTCCACAGAACGATATTTCAATTGCAAATCAACTTGAGCAGACTCAAAGTATATGACGTATCTATTATTCAATAGCTATTTCACGTTGGTGTGTGACGCATGTCGCAAAAATGGGGCATTGCGAAGCGCTTCGGCCTGGATTTCCCAGATAGGTTCTGCTAGTCTGAGAAACTGAGGGCCAAAACTGTCTCTCATATCTTGCACGACGGCTTCATCCGACTCATACAGACTTGATCGAACCAGTGGGATTTCCTTAAACTCTTTGAAAGTCAGGTATCTCCAGAGACTTTTCCAATAATCCATGGATTCTCTGGCAGCGTGGTGTTTCAGATCAACTCTAAGAGGAAGCTGGTCGAAGGCAAGCACAATATCTTTCGCGTTCGAATCCCCGCTACTGACTTCGAGCAAAGCTGATTCGGGACCGTAGCTCCATGGCTGCTGCCCAGCTGCGTGTAGCTGTATAATTGGTCGACTCTTAGATGCAATCATCATTGCCCGAGTCAGCATCATAAAGGCACTCATACGTGGCTCGGACCGACGCCACTTATGTTGGAGAAACACTTTCACTGCCAATGAACGGGGCCGTACGACATGAATATGCAGTAAAGTCACACAATAGGAGAGTGATTCTCTATCATATCACGAATCAGATGAAGCTTCCAAGTAGGAGATCTAGGAGCCATATCGCTGGTGTGATTTTGAGTATGAAAGCTCGAAGACAGACAGATGTGGGTGGGAGAGGGAACCTAGCTCCTACCATGGACTGAGAGGCGCATGCGTATAGCATTTTCGCGAAAAATACATTTCTTGTTGTCGTGGCAAGGTATTGTTAACTTTTCTTACAAAACCAGAAAGCGGTCTAAACGGCGGAGCCTCTCCGGCTCATCCTATCAGGACTCACGGCGGCTGAATTCATTCTCCGGGAATCAAGTCCTAAGAGCGCGGGAGTATAACTGATTTCGAATACTACTGTATCATGGACTGACTACTCTGATACGGTAGAGCTCTGGTCTACGATGGCCCGGACTCTCGGTATATATTGCCAACTTTGGGGTTTCGACAGCTTGGCTTTGCCAGGAGCCTCGTTTCTGAGATGCCAATATTTCTGGTCTAAACGGCCAGATGAGTAAGCTTTCATCCGTGCAACCGGATTACTCCCACATATATACGCCCGAATTAAGCTCTGAACTTTTTCCGCTGATAGGGTCTTCAAAAGTGGCAGCCCGAAGGGGCTTCACCCTATGTAGGACAAGCCTAGTCTCTTGGAGAATGTCGGCGCCGAAAGAAGGGTAGGCGTCAATCTCTTTGCTGAACTTGTGTTCTGGGCTTCGAAGGAAGCCTTCAACAAATGCTGCAGCAAATACACTTCGGACAGGATGCTCTCGAGGCAACAAGGTTGCTGAGGCAATATGATCATGTGTGAGATAGTAAGTGTTGCTATCAACATGTCGCCAAGAATTGTGGCTCTGTGGATGAGGGTTGGATTTTAAGATGTTCTTGATGTATTGGGCCATTGTAGTTTCCAACCTAACAATATCGTACTTGTCTGCAAGCCTTGCGAGCTCCAGGGCGGCCGAAATATGCTCTCCTGGGTCTTCTATCCCAAAGCTGACAGTGCGTCGATAAATCCATTGTAAGAGTGCTTCAAGGCTACGCACCGAGACATCGTCATCGGTCTCTTCAAGAGTGGCTGTCTGCTGCTGTGACTCTAGAGATTCACCGTTGAACATATTTGAGAAGACTGGCGATTCCGCTCAGAGAAGTCTTTTGGAAATTATATATTCCTTGTCGCTAGGCTGTATTCGAAGTTTGACGGAAGGGCCTTGATAGAGTGGAAGGATACTAGAGGATAAAGTGGTCAGATCACTCCTTACCAAAGATATCCCAGGTACTTACTTGGCTACGAAGTGCTCAGCACTTGCATCGGATGCGTTGGTCATTACTTTAAAATGAGGAGTCCACCTGTTGATATAAAATGTGGAACAATATGGAGAGGGCAAGCACTAGACAGGTCAATGGTGAGAATGTCGTATCTGCTCATGAGTACACGTGCGTAGCTCTAGAGCGTGCAATAATGCTACGACAGACAGAAAGAGGGGAACAAAGCAAGGCGCATTCTGGCATTGTACAGCCGATTTCGTGTAAAATACAACCAGTGGTGTCTTACAACTGTATTGTAAGATACACCTACCAGTCCAGCAAGCGGTCTGAAAAATTAGCCTTATCGCCTGTCCAATCAGGACTTACGAATATCGGATCTCTTATCCGGGAATCAAGTCGCAAGAGTGCGGAGGTATAACTGAATTCGAATACTACTGTAAAGGATGATAGGATACATAGACTGTAGTCGCACGAACGCTACTTGCCCTCCTGGTTGAGACTATTGCGATATAAAATTACTGTGTGTACCGAGCGGGAACTAACCCCGAACCAATGGCGGACCCACCCGCGGGGGCTCCCGAGTTCCTCCCCACAAACACCCAAGAATCGACGTCCAGCTTCTCGATTGAAGATTTCCAACCCAGGGTGACAGTCAATTCGCTCGGTTCGCTTCCCGATAGCCGAAAGCGAACGCGAAGCGGCGATGCCTTCACGCCCGCGGAAAGCACGGGCCAGGTCACCACCAGAGGGGTGTGGAGGCTCATCGACAGTCTGAAAACCATCATCCACCACCAAACCACGCTCATTGAATCGACTAAAGCCGAACTACAGGAGGTCAAGCATGACCAGAATGTGAATGAGAAGCTTCATGAAGAAGTCAGAGCGCTGCGGACACAAATCGAAACCTTCCCACAGGCGGCCCCAACCAGATCATGGGCCACAGTAGCGGCCAGCGGTGGCGTCCCTCCACCGCAACTGACACACCAACGACCCGATAAAGATCAAAACTGCGTCAGAATCAGCACCCAGCAATCGTTGGTAGACCCAACCGACAACCACAATGGTGACCGAAACACCTTTGGCCGATACCTCCCCACAGATTCCGCCAACACCCACATCCGAACGGCGCTATTGAGTGCCCCATCCACACAAGATGCCGAGGTTGCCGGGATCGGCACCACCAAGACCGGATACGTGATCCGGTTCAAAAACCCAACGTCGGCCGAAGCGGCCCGCAACAACACCGACTGGTTGAACGAGCTGGGAAACAGCACGAAGTTGGTCAGACCACGATTCGGCGTTGTCGTCCACCGTACTCCGACCGAGGATTTTGACCTGGAAAATGCGAGCCCACAAGCTATTGAGAAAATCATGGACGAGAACGAACTGACGGAGCGAGGTTTCCGAATTGAGGAGGTGGCATGGCTGAAGATGAAAGACAAGGAGCTAGGGAAATTTGCATCACTTGGTATTTGGTTCGACTCGGCGGAGGGAGCAGAGTGGCTACTGGTCAATGGCCTCCTAATCGGCCAGGGTTACATCGGCACGGTAGAACGCTGCGAGATCAAGAGAAAGAGATGCTTCCGCTGCCAACGATTCGGACATTTGGCATGGTCGTGTAAGGAGAAACCGAGGTGCGGACATTGCGCAGGCCAGCACGAACGGGAGCGGTGCCCCCCAAGGGGTGCGAGCCCGATGCCTCGACTGCGGTGGTGAACACCCAACCGGTGACCGTCAGTGTCCGACCCCCGCGACCTCCAACCCCTCCCAATGTTAGAGACGAATCTACGTGTACTACAGTTGAACATACTGAAATCGGGACCAAGGGTGGAAGCGCTCATCAACGACCATCAGAGCCAGAACCTGGACGTCCTGCTGATCCAGGAACCCTCCATCACCACCTATCGAACACACGTCAACCATAGCGCCTGGCGGCTGTACCGACCGACCGTCGAGAGTGAGGCTGTCCGTTTCCGCAGCCTGATCTACGTCAATCGAGGGGTGTCAACCTCTTCCCACCGACAGATACCGTGCAACCACCCAGACCTCACAGCAATCAAGATCTGGACAGCAGACCAGCAAATTCTTATCTTTTCAGTCTACATCCCACTCGTGCCTATGCACAACCCCGATGGGACGTCGGCAGAAGCAACACTCACAGCCATCCAAAACACAATAGAAAACGCTCTTCTGGATGGTCAGAAAACAACGAGCATAGTGCTTTCCGGAGACTTTAATCGCCACCATCCAACATGGGACGGCAATCACGTTCACCCGCGGTTTGTAGAGGATGCAAGCGAACTGATTAATTTCGTTCAAAGATATGGCCTATACGGCTGTCTTCCTCGAGGAACAGCGACTTTCTGGTCTCTGAGCGACCCGGGAAGGAACTCGACTATTGACCAGACCGTAACGGACCGGCCAGACCGGCTCGTTAAATGTCATCTTTACGATGAAAGTTACGGCTCGGACCACCGTGCCACTTACTCAGAATGGAATCTGTAAGCCCAGCGTAGGCCAGCAGCCAAGGCGAAAAGGGCCTACGACCGGGCAGACTGGGACAAAATCGCCAAGGAAGTGCTTCGACAGATAGGCCCATGGAAGGAAATTAAAACTAGACCAGCGCTAGATGAGGTTGTTGAACGGCTCACGGAAGCGGCTACGACGGCAGTCGACAGTCTCACGCCCGACTTACGACCGACACCATACTCTAAACGGTGGTTCACGCCGGACCTTAAATCCAGCAGACCGAGGTTAATCGCCTGCGCCGAAAATGGCAGGATAGTTGCTCGGAGTTCGGGCGAAACCACGACCAATCCGCGATCCTATTCCGAGAGATGCAACAGAAACGACGAGAATGGACTCGGGCTATCGAGAAAGTCAAAGCGTCACATTGGAAACAATTTCTCGATGAAGCCGGGGAGGGGAAGCTGTGGAAGGCTGCCACCTACATGAAACCGCGAGATGCCTGGGGTTGCATCTCAACCTTACAAGACGATACCAACGAATTCATTGAGAATGAGGAGAAGGCGCAGGCCTTCTTGAACACTTTCTTCCCTGAGATGGATGACCCGCACGAAGACCTACCGACCAAAACACCCCTGGAACTCCCATGGCAACCCATCACCGAACTGGAAATCCACCGATCTCTCCGAGCTATGAGGGGTTTTACTGCACCTGGTGAGGATGGTCTACCGTTGCTCGTGTGGAAAAACCTGTGGAAATATCTCAAAAAGTTTATCACCGGGATCTTCACCGCATCCATTAGCCTAGGGTACCATCCGAAACGTTGGCGCAGCGCAAGAATCGTAGTACTGCGAAAACCGGGGAAACCAGACTACTCAGCCCCTGGTGCCTATCGACCTATATCGCTCCTCAACACGCTAGGCAAACTTCTCGAGGCGGTGATGACTAGACGGCTGGCGTATCTTGCCGAGAACCACAGCTTATTACCAGATACCTAATTCGGCGGGCGTCCGGGAAGAACCACCGAACAAGCCCTCCTAGTTCTATCTAACGCCATCGATCGAGCATGGAACCAGCACAAGGTAGTGACACTCGTCGCTTTCGACCTGAAAGGGGCCTTCAATGGCGTCAACAAAGTAAGCTTGGACGCTCGGCTTCGAGCCAGGAGAATCCCAAGCGCGGCCAGAAAATGGATCGGGAGCTTCATGAGCGACCGCCTTGCCAACATTGGTTTCGACGACTTTAGGACAGAGGTGGCACCACTATCAAATGCCGGACTAGCGCAAGGCTCTCCCCTCTCGCCAATCCTATTCGCGTTCTTCAACTCAGACTTAGTCGACCAGGAAGTCACCTTCCACGGCGGCGCGTCGGCCTTCATTGATGACTATTTTCGATGGCGTGTAGGTAGATCAGCCGAGGAGAATATTGCGAAGATCCAGACCGAAGACATCCCCCGCATCGAAACATGGGCCAAACAAACGGGTTCCCATTTTGCTGCAGAGAAAACAGAGCTTATTCACCTAACCCGGAACAAGGGCGAACAGCTTCACGGGCCACTTAATCATGAACGGCAAGACGATCGAACCGACAACTACCGCCAAGCTGCTGGGTGTGATCTTCGATCAGGAGCTGCGGTGGAAAGAACACATCCAACAGGCAATCAAGCGCGCAACTCAAACGAATGTTGCACTCGGTGGGCTGCGACACCTCCGCCCCGAGCAGATGCGACAGCTTTATGAGGCCTGTGTCACCCCTGTAGTAGACTACGCGTCAACCGTTTGGCACGACCCACTCGGAGACAAGACTCACCTACGGCATCTACGCACAGCGCAACGCACTGCACTCATCCGTATCATATCGGCGTTCAGAACAGTAGCCACCTCAACAATGGAAGTTGAAGCCCACATATTGCCAACACACCTCCGACTGCGACATCGCGCACAAAGCACCATCACCAGGCTTCACACTCCCGAGGGACCACCCAATTTGGAGTACATTACCATGCGCCCAAAAACGGAGGAATAATATCGGGTCGTATTCTCGATTCCCACTCGCACAGTCGCTGAAGACAATGAACCTGGAAAGGTTGCAAGATCTGGAAATGATCGACCCTAGAATGCGACCGCCATGGAGAACAGAGGCCGTTACGGAAATCGAGATTGAATCAGATGGAGAGATAGCAACACAGCGAGCTGAAACCATTCGGTCTATCTCAGACGTTGTTGTCTATTCGGATGTGTCAGGGCGCCATGGTCATCTAGGGCCCGCAACCGTCACGCTCGACAACAATCTGGAAGCGTCCGAATCCGTACAGATTCAGGTCGGGTCTATTGATCGATGGTCTGTACATGCCGCTGAACTGATCGGTATCTTGCACGCCATC